TTAAAAATATAGGTGATTATTTGCTAGAGTAAAGAAGTGTTTGTACTTCCAATTTTAATTGGTGTCCACTGTGCCTTCTAGTGTTTTTCTGTCTTGGAGTGAATGACACTTGTGTTATATTTCCCTCTGAGCTGAAACATGCTTGTGAATAAAGTGTTAGTAGCATACCCTCAAGAAACTGATTATACTCTAAAATCAGCCTTTCTTGGGCCTTATTAATAAGAAATTTTCAGGAATTCCTTGGTCCAGTGGTTAGGACTCTGCATTTCCACTGCAGAGGACAAGGGTTCAATCCCTGGTCAGAAAACTAAGAACCCTCAAGCCATGCAGCACAGCCAGATTTAAAAATAAAATAAATTTTCTTTTAGCATTTTGGAAATATTAAATAAGTGAATAAGTGGTACATATTACATAAATAAAATATCGTCAAACTTGCCTGGTCTAAATTCAGAATTTAAAAAGGGATGTGGTTCATGCAAACAGTCACTGAAATACATCAAGGGTTTTTTGCTTAGGATAATAAATTTTAAAGAATAAGAACAATGGGTTGTTAGCATATCAACGGTATGCTCATTGGAATTCTGGATTACTCTTGAGTAGTGGGAGAGATGAGAAACACAAATACACTATATGTGGTAGTGCCATGGTGAGGCAGATATAATGGAAAGAGATGACTTCTGATTTAAGAAATTGGCATAGGTCTTAGAGAAGGGGTTAAGAATAACACTGCAGTGAGAAATGGGTGGAGAAAAGATGCTTTCAGGAAATTAGTGTGTATATCAATATTGTAGTTTAGTAGGAGCAGAGGTATCTAACTGATTATGATTACTCCTTGGCACATGCTGTCAAAGCTCTGTGTGGGTAACCAGCAACAAGCTACATGGGTAGTAGATGCTAGATGGGATGCTTGGCGAAGGGGCTTTCAAGCTAGCCCTTGAAGAAAGGGAAGGATTTGATTAGAAATCTCGATGTTCCAATGAAAGGGGCATAGGCATAAGATAGAAACCAAGGTAGTAAGATAGACCAGTTTTTACTCTGTTGAGTTTGAGAAAGACAAAGCCAGCTACACTGAAGAATCTTGAATGCAAGGCTAATGAACTTAAAATTATCAGGAATGATTTGGGAACTTCTTTTAATACTCCCTTGCTGAGAAACATTTAGTGATCACAGCAATATTTTGAGAAGATGATTGGACATATGTGGGAAAGTTTTGGAAAGCGAAAGGACTAGAAGCAGAGGCACCAGCTGGGAGGACTACATAAATGTGCTGATATTTAAGAAGGAGAAGTCCAGGAGGTAGGAGAATCAGTAATGATTACAACTTAATAAAAATGGTGGTAGCAATTTGTGTCTTTGCTTTGGGAGAGAATATTAATTTAGTCGGTCAACACTTTTTTAATTGAAATACAATTTACATATAATATTGGGTAAGTTTATCTCACACAGTGTGTTGATTTGAGTCAAATGAGTACTTACGTGTAATAGGCACTGGGCTATAATGAGAAAAGCAAAATACAGGGTCTCTGCCCAGATGGACCTTTTGTTTAGTGAGGGAGACAAGAAACCTGTGTGTGTGCATGTGTGTGAGAAAATAAGTCCTCTGAAGAGAGAAGCAAGGTGAAGGGATAAGGAGTGATGAAAAAGAGGACAGTGTTTTAGGGTGGGTGAGAGAACATTTGAGTAGAGACCTGAGTGAAGTGAGGAGTGGAGACTTCTCACCATCTGGGGAAAGAGTGTCCCCGGCAGCAGCACTGCACATGTAGGCCTGAGCACCCCTAGGACCAGCAAGAAGCCCACCTGGCTGGAGACAGCTGCAAGGGGCAGCGCTGTAGGCAACAAGATGCACAGTGTAACCAGGGAGCAGGGCATTTAGTGTCCTGAAAGCCATGCTAGAGAGTTTGGATTTTATTCTCGGTTTGATGGAAAGTCCCTGGGAGTGCCATGTGTGCTTTCAAAAGATCCCTGTGGCAGCCAAGTTGAACATGTGGAAACAGGAGGCGGTCCTCCAGGTGAGAGAAGGTGGTGACTCAGAGCCGAGGGTGATAGTAATGAAGGTGGTGGGAGTCCAGATATAGTTTGGAGGTGGAGCAAAATTATTTGAGCTAGGTGTGGCTTATGTGAAGTAGAATCTAGGAATACCCACAGAGTTTATGTGGTTGGTTTGTGGAAGTTAGAGAAAGCTAGTTCTGCCTCTTGGTGTAAGCAGACCCTCAGCACGTTTGTGTGAGGAGGACTCCCTTCCTCCCATAGACATACCTGGGCACTGGGCCCCACAGCTAGGGGAAAGGAGCACGGACTGAGTACCCCTGCTTGGCGAGGCATACTTGTGGGGGGCTCAGTCCATGCTATCCAGTGCAGCAGCCCTGAATCACGACTGTTTCTGGCCTGAGCAACTGGGTGAATTGTAGTATCATCTGAGGGACTCGGGAAGAGAAGCTGACCTGAGGTGAGGGAAAGTGGTGGAAATCAAGTTCTATGTTTAGCTGAAGTCTGAGATGCATATTAAACATCCTAGAGGCAATGTCAAGTAGACAGATGGATATGGACTTTTGGAAGCTAGGTAAGGAGTCATCAGGGATGCAGACAGGTTTGCTGTTTTTGTGTTTGAAGTGACAGCATGACAAGCAAGTGGAGCTCTAGAACCCAGGTTTGAGAACAAAGATTTAATTAAAGATGCAGACTGGGAAGTCATTCTGCCCACAGGGATATATGAAACATTTGAGGAAAATTATATTGAAAAACAAGAATGTGGAGACCACTTTTGGACTGTTACCAGGCAGTGAAAAATGGGAAATGACTGCGGAGCAGCCAGCATGGGGGGAGAACCTGATAATCAGCCTGCTGGAAGACAAGGAGTGAGGGTGGGGTGTGTTGGAGCGATCAGAAAAATTCCAGGCTGAGGGAGGCTGCTAAGCTTGAGAGTACTACTGAGAGGGAATAATGGGTGTGAAGGTAATTTGCAGGGAATTAAAAATATACTTTCAGGAAATATGCACTGAAAGGAGGTAACAGTGGGTTGTATGTTGATTTTTCAAAATAGGATGGTCGTGTCTGATTAAGGCAAAGATAAGGGAACCAGTGAAGGAGGGACAGAAGAGAGCATAGATACTCAGCCAGTATTTTGCACAACAGAGGAAGGAGAGGTGAAAACAATTTATCGTCTTAATAAAGTTGTGGTTAGGATCATCTGTTATGGGGTCACCATTGGTATTAAAGATCTGAAGAAAGTATGAAAGGGAACCAACCAATAAGGGGGAAAAAATGGTCAAGCAGCGATGAAAGACTGGTTGGAAGTGATGGAGAATCATTTGTAATAGTCCATCATGTTTTTCTGTGGGCCCAAGAGCACGAGGGAATTGAGAATTACAAGTTGATCCAATTAAGAAAGAAGGGTACCTGGAACAGCGGTTCATAACCTGTAGGCATGCATATCAGAATCACCCGGAAACTTTTTCAAATTATACAAATTGAGGTGTGGGAATAGGATGATTGCAATGGGAAGAGAGATGCTTACATATACTTTTAAAACATTCTGGGTGATTCTCTTAAACTCCTATCCTCTCTCCACCATGCCCCCCCCCCACCCCACACACACACATTTGAAAACAGTTCTGGACGTGATGTTAGTAGGGTGACATGGTGCAAGCTGGGTAGGAGCAGTAAAGAGTAGCTGGAAGGGAAGCCAACAGACTGAAAGAGTTAAGAGTAAGGTTTTCTGCAATGATCTTAATAACAATAACTACTAGTAAAATTTACAGGTGGGGTGTGCTCAGCTGGTTAAGTTCCTGTTCTGCAGAACTTTACAGAGCTTTTCATACCCACATGAATCTCTAAGAAGGAATTTAGTATTTTAAGAAAATAGCTAACCAAGGAACCCTTTTTTTCATGGTAACTTTGGACTAGTTTCTACTTGAAAACATTTTGAAATTGCTGAATTAAGAGAAGTCCTGCGATAGTTTGTTCTAGTTTAATTAAGAGTCCACAGGTTGTGGGAAAGGGAAGCTGCAGTGGAAAGGTAACCTGTCCAGGTTAAAATCTAGAAGACACAGCTCCCAGGGTATGGAATCGCTGGGTTACTTCGCATTCCAGCAGGTCAACTGTTTTCTACCATTGAGTCCAGTGTCAGTTGGACCATCTGTATGAATGATGAAGTTGCAAAGTTTAAAAGTGGGGATTTATGAACTATTTACAAACAGTGTACATTTAATAGTTAGGTTTCTCAAAAACAGTATTGGATAAAGTCTTTATGAAAGAGACCAAAATCCAATGGCCTTTTAGGGTAACTAGCCTTTCCCTTAATTAATGACAAGAAAGTGGATAATATTAAAAGAAGATAGACTTTGATGTCTAGGAGCACTCCATGTCAGCGACTTAGTATTTTGGGAATTTATCTACCTTTTGGGCTGAGGCAGAGTCACAGGCTTTGAGAATGCTGCCCTGCCCCTATTTGTACTGCCTGGGCATTGAACTGAATACTAACTTTCCAGGGAAGTCCTGTTCTTACAGTTTGAGATGATTAACACCAATTGTTGTCTCTAAAGATTTCCGAAGAAACCAGTGATTGGTGAGGACAGGGATTATTGGCAGGAATTAGACATTTATATAGCATAACTTAGTTTTTAACAATGATGTGATAGGAATTTTTTAAAGAGTATACAAGTCAGCTCCCAGCACTGAGACATACTAAATGAAAAAGGTTCCAGTTTTCAGTTGTCCCAATTGTATGTTTTCCAGGTCACAAGTTTCCATTCTTTTGTGCCAATGATAGCATTCCATTCTTTCCCTCATGTATCTTTAATGTTGGATTTCCCCTCATAATCCTCTATGAAAAAAGAAAACACATGTGCCTTCTTTTTGCTTACAGCAGTATCCTTGTGATAAATTTTTTGTGTGTGACCCCACTGAAGTGTTCAAAGCATGTGGAAATCACTTACTGGTGACAGTTGTGCATTCTACGTATTGATTTTCCTCTGGACGCCTGAACTCTCTTTTCTTCACAGGTAAAGTCAGTGATAAACCTTTTGTTTGCTGCATATACTGGAGATGTGTCTGCACTTCGAAGGTATGTTAACAGGGTAGCATATGGTTTACAGATGTTTATGAAATTGCTTCTGGGGAGAGGGCCATTTTAAAGCTAAGTGAAGTTTCACTTACATTTCCCTCTAATAATAATAATCCAAACAAAGTTATATTAAGTTTCCCCTTCCAGTGCCTTAGTCTTGCTGTAGTCTACTTCCTAGAAATGTCCAGTCCTCTGTTTTCCCAAGTGTAACTGTTCAATCTGGCCGATTGGTATTAGTGTTTTACTGGAATTGGACAATGCCTTCTCAATCCCCATCTACCCATCATCACTCTCCATCTTTGGAGGTGAGTGAGGTGGGCAAATAGGAACACTTGATGATCTGCAGATCCCCAGGCTGGAAAGGTCACAGAGGACTGTAAACTTGAGATGGTAAATGGTTCCTCTTACCCAAAAAGAGCAAAAGCTAAAGAAGAGCGGTGAGGTGGCATTTACCTAAGGCATCATGTACTAGTTGAACAGGGTCTCCCATTAGTGAGCCTAGTGAAGGATGACACCTTTCTCACAGGACCTTCAGTTGAACTGATGGAGGAAATGTTACAGAGGCGAATTAATCTAAACAGCTGTGCTTACAAATTTTCAGGTTTGCTTTGTCAGCCATGGACATGGAACAGCGAGACTATGATTCTAGAACGGCACTCCACGTAGCTGCTGCAGAGGGTAATATATGAACCACTCGGTTTTTTTTTTTCAAACTTAGTTTCTACTTAACACTAAAACCTGCTTGATTTACTTTGGCTGTAGGTCATGTTGAAGTTGTTAAATTTCTCCTGGAAGCCTGCAAAGTAAATCCTTTCCCCAAGGACAGGTGAGCCCTCATGTTACTTTCTAACACGTAGTTGGCAGACCAGGCTTTTTAATCATACAGGGCTATAATAGTTAAATGATGGGTGTATTTAAACCCACATTGTATATGTTGGAGATGAACTTGCTTTGAAGCCTTATAAAGGCAACAAACAAAACCTTGTTGCTATTCAGTAGATCATTCTTTCTCCTAGATCCTCTTGTTTACCTAAGGGAGTTCTCTTAGAGTTATCTTGGTTAGTCTGTCAGTGAGTATATTGTGTGAGAAAACAAGTCTTGGTGTTTGTTAAGATAAAATAGGAATTTTGTCCTCGTGGGGCTTTTGACTACCCCAGGCAGACAAGATAAACATTTGCAGGAGTATATTAAAATGTGTAAGGAGATTACTGTTCTAGAACTCTATTGGAGTTTGTTGAAATTCCTGGATTTGGTTGGAGTCCGTTTCAGAAAGCTTCATGGAAGTTGAATTTTAACCAGTGCTCTGGGAAAGAGATGAGATTTGAGGGCACAGAAGGAAGAGAGGGGTGGTCTATCTAGAGTGGAGAGATCAGCCTGGGATATGTTCTGCTCCTCTCCTCTTCCTCCTGGTCCACATGGCAACTTGACATTCATCCTTCAATAAATCCTGTTCATAAGGCGGATGGCCAGGAGAGGGTTAAGAGTGCAGCTTAGGTACATACACACGCTTGAAGCAAATCCTGCACTAATACACTGGAATGTTATATAACTGCAGTTACATAACTGGGTGAGTCAGTGAGTAAGGAGAATAAAGGCCTAGAAGAATGGAAAAAAATATTTGGTGGGAGAGGTTTGATACGTGTGATTAGGAGTTTGGATTGGATCTTTGAGGACTATATGAAGTAACTGTGGAGCAAGTTGATTATTTTCTAGCTATTAGATCTTTCTGTTTCAGTAAAGTTTTACTATTTTTCAAATCAGTGGTTTGGGTTTTATTAGTTCAGCTTGCAGGAAATGCAGGAAAGTTATGACATCAGTGTCTGAGAACTGTTAGCAATTTGGTAAGTGTGGTAACTCTCTGCTTACCACAGTCATGATATTTATTGGTAATATTCTAAAACCTCATGTTCGGGAGACAGTTCTCCCGTTTATCCCCAAATGTAATGTCCACACCAGCTCTTTTTCCAGAGCAAGGAACTGAAGAGGGTGTTTTCTCCTTGTCCGCAGTGTTTATAATCCCAAGTAAAACACTGTTTAACACAGGCTAGAAATATTTACTATGCTTTGCATGTTTAAGAATCAAAATGTTTTGTTTTGGTTTTTGCCCTAAATTGACCTCTAGGAATGTGAAAGTAGAAGCACGCATCTGAGAGGCAAAACTTAGCTCAGTAACTAACGTGGTAACTGGTTATTCAACGTTTTGAGAATGTAAGCTAGATGAACACATCTTTGTTTTTCTATTTCATAGAATCAGTATCACCTCAAATTGGCAAAACAGGCTTGAGCAGATTTAGTGTATAGAGTTGATATTTTGCATTACTTCATGGAAAACAAGAGTCTTTAAAAAAAAAAAAGAGGTAACAGTTTTCCCAGAAAGACAGGTAATTATATGCTGTAGATGATTGAAAAGTTACTCCATCTCCCAGTTTTAGATCACTGACTCCCTAACTTAATGAAGGCTAATGTAGAAGTAAAAGGCAACTTAATTTAGCAGTTTTTTGAGCAGCATGTTTGTGTTAAATGTTACTTACATATAAAAGGTTACTTACCTGATTTGAAAAATTAAGAACAGGCTACCAAACTATTCAAAAATATTTTTAAATGAGATTACTTAAAAAACTTTTAGTTCTACATTGGGACCCCACTGAGAAGGTAAAAGGTTAAGAACAAAGAGAGAAGGAAAAGCAGAAGCTTGTGAGAATGGCATGTGAAAAAATGGAATCAGAGAGCCTATCAGCCACAGAGAAGTGACCTAATAGGGAGAGGATGGAAGAGAAGCTTAATAGTTTGTGAGGAACTGGGGAGGTAATTATCATGCTCTGTCATTTACTTGGATTGTTACAGTTATACAGTGTTGACTCCTCTTCCAAAAGGCTAATTAGCTGATGAACCACTGCTGGCAGCTCTTCCTTTCTCATCTTCAGTAGTCGTCATCTACAGGACTCTATAAAGAGCACAGCCCAGAAGCACACTTCCTGTGGAATGAGTAGCTCTTCTGGTTGTGGAGTGGGTCCAGTTGAGTCCCTAAAGTCCCATCCTTACCAGAGATGATGAAAATGTCAGTTCCTCTGAGGCCAGTCTTGCTCTTCCAATGAATATTTGAGCTCTGATAAGACCACGGTTATTTCCAGGCTTTGGAGATTCACTGTGATTTTACATTGACAGGAACACAAATTTTCTATCAAAGGCTAGGGTGATGGATGTTACACAGCTGAGTTTTCTTTGCACATTGTATTTAAAGAGTGATCCCTTAGGCTTTTCATGAAGGTAAAATTCAGGAATAGTAGAGGAATCTCTCTTACCTGTCAACACTAGAATTTCCCCTCCATAAGCACTTAGTATGAATAAGACCCTTTTGCAGAAGATGGTTTTCTCTTGCTCCCCATATCCCAACTTGTCTCTGAGACCACTTTTTGGATTATAAATCTTTCTGCATTTTTTTCAATATTACCTGTAATACTGTGTAAATAGCTAAGTTTGAATGGCCCTTTAACCTGCATTTAAAATCTAAGATTATCATCTTTGTACAGAAATTCCCTAATGACCCTGTCTGTGCTGTGCTACTTGTTTAGGTGGAATAACACTCCCATGGACGAAGCGCTGCACTTTGGGCACCACGACGTATTTAAAATCCTGCAGGAATACCAAGTCCAGTACACGCCTCAAGGAGATTCCGACAATGGAAAGGAGAATCAAACGGTTCATAAGAATCTCGATGGACTGTTATAATAGTCTTAAGCCCAAGATTTAAATCACTTACCTATGTAATTGTGGAAAATGATTATGAAGAACGTGTGTATTCCTATCTGGTAGTGATGTATATTTTACAACATTGGTCATTTCAGTGTTACTGGAGTTTCTTCATTGTGCGCACAGGACAAATCTGATCTCTTTGGGAAAAAATAGAAATAAAACAATCTCCCTACATAATGTGAGCAATATTTACCTCGTGCATTGTATAATTTGATGTAAAAGATACATTTACCAATGCTAGCTTTACTGTGTGGTCTTCATGATTTTTGTGTATTTTGTGAATTTTACAGTTTATGGTGATGATCTACTGATATGCATTTACAAATTAAACTCTATTGTACAGTTTGTCCAAATGGGTCAAGGCTACCTTTAGGCAAGACAGTGTAATTTTCATGACTTCAAATACAGATTTAGTTTGAGTGAACAACTATATGCACTTATGGTTATGAGTTTAACATGTCCCCCATCACCCTAGCTTCATGATGTGACTCTAAAAATTATAATAGTTAACAACTGTTAGTAGGATAGACCAGATCTGATTAGACTTTATCAGGGAATCTGTTTAAGGTATGTTTGGTGACCAAAACATATGTGTGAATGTAGTTAAAATATTTTGGAAAGAATTTCCTTTTTCTATATCCCCTCAGACCAGTTTCTTTTCCAGACATTTAGCTTTTTGCCTTTCCTTTAGCTGGGAAAGCGGGTGCTGGCATACTATGCGGTTTTCATGTTTTCCACAATAAAACAGAAAATGCCTCCTGTATCTGGCATCCGAGCTGTAACTATGCCATTTGTCTACAGGAGATGAACCAGAGACAAATTACTAAGCTAAATACAAATTAGTCCAATTCATCAGCCAATAAAAGGAAGGGATGTGCTCCGACAGCTCTTTAAGAAGATATTTTTCAGCTTTCAGGATAAATTCAGACATGCTCTAAGCTACCAAAGTTATTATGAAGGTATGGGAACTGCTACAAATAACATTTGTTTTAAAACCTGTCATTAAAAGTCTGCATCAAGGTATCTATTCTGTTTAGGGGATCACTAGATCGCTCCTGTTTTCTCCTGATTTTCTACTGTATATTTTTGGTGGACTTTACAGTTCAATAATAAGAAAAAGCTATTTAAAATCAAAATCCATCATTTTTCTTGGGGAGAAACTGCACATATACATTATCCTGTCATACCTCAGAGGTATAAAAGGGTATGTTAATGAGGATTTCTGAAATTAAATACACACACACAAATGGACTTCTCTGAAGCTGTGTTTAGTGAAATGAGCAGAATCCTCAGCTACGTAAATGCTGGCTGTTATGTTAATATAACAAATCCCTTTTTCTTCCCCTTTCTGTCAGCACACACTGCTGCTTCCAGGCTATGTCATGCCCAGTGGCTCCAATCCCACTCCAGCGGCCTCCAAATATTTCAATTACTGCTCCCAGTCTAATCAGTAACTTCTGCCATTATACCCTTATTGCCTAGGCAGCACCTCGGTAGGTGGAACAAGGCGAGTGTTCCTTAACAGAGCTGCATCAGGCACGATGCCACTCTCAAGTTTGTGCTGCTGTTTGGAGTATGGTGGGTGGGCGTTCCTGCCCCATGGGTCTATCAGACATGTAGACAGGTAGTATTTGTAAAGTGCTGCAGAGGAACAGCATTATTCCCAAAGATATCATGGGGTAGACACTCTGTAATTGCAATGATTTTAAATAATTGGTCCAACAGCAGCCTGCTCTGTGTAATTTAAATGAAACATTAAGATAGTTCAGTTACATGACTTGAATGACTTTGAGACGTGACTGCCAATGATTTTGAGAATTTTTGTTCTGTTACTTGGGAACAAAGCGTTTTCATTTTTTCTCAGATCAAGACTATTCTGTGCAATCTTTGTGGTTTAGTTAAATGTGCCCTTATTTACCCATGATGTTATTTATGACTGTAGACTGGGTCTTGCTCTGCTATTTGCTATTGGCTGGTAATAATAATGAACACGTTTCACTTAAATGCTTTTAACTCTGCTGTTAACTGCTGCCATCAGTATGCTCCAAAGATCTTTTTATTCTGGCTTTAGGATCATATGTGCTTTTTCAGTACCACAGAGCTCTATATGGTGGTGTTTCTTTAAAGCTTTGTATACACTGTTGTTTTTGCTGGTCTCCGTTCTAATGATCTCATCTCTTGAGTGTAATGTGCTATACCCCACTGCTGCCCATCCTGCCCTTCAGCTGCAGAACTAGATCAGCTATTGACCATTTGATGCTGTTATCTGCCTGGCAGGAACTGAATGACCTGATGCTGGATTTAGGTTCTTTCTGGGGATTGTACAGTTATGAATGTATTTGCTTCCAGAACCTCCCAAAGTGAATCTAATCTTAAAACTGTAAGTTGTAAGTATTCTGAAATTGGAAAATATTTATTTTAATTGAAATCAGGTAGTGTTGCTTTTTACAGCTTAATAAATACATGTATCAAAAAACCAAAAATGATTCTTTTTAAAAAAAGGTTTTCTCTTACATCACTGGGTTGGGAATTCCTCTGAACATAGGAACTACACCTAGGCATTTTTCATGCCTCCTATGGACCCAGGTACTATGCCAGTAGGAGGGTACTACTGCAGTAGGGTTACTGCAATGATTAGGATGAAAATTCTGTAAGCAGTTCATCCCTGAAGGTGAGAAGACGCAAAGGCGTGTTTCTAGTCCTCTTAGAAGCTAACACTATCCTTTCACAGGAGGTGCTCTGTAAATATTTGCTACATTGAAATCTTTCACTAGGAGGGTTTGAACCTCTTTTAATGAAAAGAGAGGGTATTTTCACAAATGTCTTGACATCTATTTTGGGAACTGAACTCAGTACTGCCATACTGGAGTCTAAGCAGGACCAGCTGGTAGTGGCAGCCCCCACCTGGTCCATGCATGTATAGAATGGCGTTCACTCCCAGAGCCAGAAACCCCTGGTTCAGGGTTAGCACATGGTCTTTTAACCACAGGGAAGGCACATAAACACCACGAATGCCATGGCTGTCCATTTTCAACAATCAAAGTTGTTTGTGACAAAGTAATCTGTTTTGCTGTAGCAGTCAAACAGTTTGTCTATATTACTGACATTTTACAACTGGAAGAGACATCCAAAATCTCTACTCTCACCCTTTCTTGGATGAATGCCATTAGTTTGAAATTATGTATATTTTTGTATAACCTTTAAATTATTCATAGCTTTTAGCTATGTTTGCTTCACAAAATCTTTCTTAAGTTTTTGTAGGTAAGATGTCTGTACTAGACATACAATTCAGTATCTCAGACCATCTTAAGTTCCACAAAACCAGAGATCTCTCTGTTTTACTTTGCCAACTTAGTTTCCCAAACATCTAGAATAGTGCCTAGCTCATGGCAGGTGCTCAACATATATCTGGTGAACTAATAAATGAATCTTACTAAGCAGAAGCCACTCAAGTAAACACCCCTTACTCTGGGCACAGCATCCCAAAGTACCAGAGCTTTCAAAACCATTTCTGGTTTTTTCTTGGGATATCAGATATGAAAGGAGTTCTTCGTTCAATTAAGACTTAATATTCCATTTCAGCTTAGAGACAACAGATAGATTTCCATCATTTAATGCTATTTACTGCCACTTCAGAAAACACTTTCCTGAAAAGGGAGAAATTTGTCCTAAGTGGTACATAAAGGTTCTATGCTTATAAAACACCATACCAGAAATACTCTTAAAACACACAAACATCCCTTTACCAGGATCTACTCAGTGACTTCTTATAATGATCAAATACATAGAAATACAAACATAACCAGCTAGGCAGGGCATTATCTGTTGTACTTCATTCCCTGGAGAAATATGCTCTTGATGTTTGTTATGAAAAAACTTGATATTTCCTAGATATAAGTACTGCAGATAGGGAGATGAGAATGGTCATATTTGCTATGAGGCCAGAATTCAAGCTTATACCACCATTCTCTGATAGCTCAAACAACAGTTCAATCTAACCTGCCAATTTACGTCTAACCTAGTGGTTCTTATATTATTTTTTTTCCCCAGCACTCAATGTCTTTTACTTTGAGAGGGTCACAGCTTTCTAGCTTAGAGCATCTTTGGAGAAAAAAAAATGGCAGCTTTTTGTGTGGGTGCAATAACTTCTCAGGAAGGAATATCTCACCTCATCAAGGAGGTGTAGATTTTAGATGCTGCTATGGAGACAATAGTCACATTTTATATGTATTTTAAAATTAAAAACTTACATTATAGCAGTACTGAAATTCACTTTAAAATAAATACAAAATGATTTCTGCACTTGGAGGCAGCTGTGGTGATCACCAAGACCAGAGGGTTTTGTTTGTTGTTTATGGTACTCATTATGACTTCTCTCAGTAATGTTTCTTCTCTCATCTCCTCCACTGACCTACCTTAATCAGGGTAAGAGAGGGCAACACTTACGAAAACGATATTGATCTTATTTAAAAATAAGGAATGACATTTTTATGTTTAAACATAAGATGAGAAAAACATCAAACCTACACACAGTGCCAGGAACGTTTAAAATCTTTACACCAACTATTATTTATAACAGACTAACTTTATAACTTTAATACTTTAAAAAAAAGTAAACAAAATCTCTGGATGTGCAGGAAAATGAAACTATGCCAAAGCATTTTTAGAGGGCAAAAATATACCAAATAGCTAAATATCAGGAATTAGAAACACCTTTTTAAACTGCTGTCTTCTTTGTTCCTTTATCATTTTAATTTAAAAAGTCAACTGAAACTCAATCAGGTTCATGTCAATCATCTTATGTAAAAACTGAGGAGGTTTTAATTTGTGTTTAATACCAAGGACATATTATATTTAATGTAACACACATACTTTAAAACAGACCTCAAGAAAACTTTATCCCCACCAGAAAAATACAGTATTTACATAAAAATATGATTGTGGTGGCGACAGCAGAAAAATATGATTCAGCTGCAGACAGCTGTTTGTGAAAATTATCTAGAAGATCTCTATCAAACCCACTCCCTAAACCACTTCTGTGTGCATCAGTGCTAGGGAAGGGGCAAGGTAAGTAACACAGCACTTCACAAAACATCATCCAGTCCAAAACAGGTCTAGAAAAAGCACAAGAGAGAGGGTGGAACCATTTGTAATGGTTTTGTAATGTATTTGTGAGAGAAACACATTTGCCAGTGAAAAATACGCAATTCTCAATGCAGTTACACAGGATGAGTTTTCAAATTATTGGATTCTCATAATCTCCACTTAATGATTTGTCAGTTACTATTATTTCTTCTCAATTTGAAAATTTTGGCTAACTACCAGCTAATAACAATAAAGACAAGTGAACCCACTTAAGAAACATGCATTAAATTTCTGAGTTTGTTCACATCTACAATTAATTTCAACTTTTTGAAAAAATAATAGGATTTGCCTTAAGAGAGTTGTTAATTGTTTGGCTCCCTTGATAGAACTGTACAGACAGTTTCATTTACTAACTTCAATTTCATGATGAAGGCAGAATATATTCAACTTTGGTATTAAAGCTGAAACGGAAGATACTACTCCTGAATTTGGAAAGTTTACTTCCTTCTATTGATATTAGCCAGCATCATAAAGCCATAACAAACAAAAGCTAATTCTCCCAAGAGAGAATCTCTCTAGTTTTCAATGGCCAGTGTGGAAAATATAATAACACACATAACTTCTATCTTCTGCCCAGATACAGGACAGCTTTGCACTATTTCACAGGCAAGCCACTGGCAAACTTCAGGCTATATTTAAAGTAGAGAGAACAAATAAGAATAACCATATGATCTACCCAACCACCTGTAACAATCGGGCCCTGACTATACATAGCATCTGCTACATGCTGCTAAATGTCTCACCTTTCCTAAAGTACTCTCATTCTAGTCCTGATGATTTTGGTGTACGAGGATGTTTTTCATCTGTAAAACCCTCTATGTGGAGAAGACCTTTCAATTTTACCTTCAATAAGATGCATGAAGCCCTTCAGAGTAAAAGATGTTTCTGAATTAGGGGGAAATCCACTTGCTATCAACAGGTTGCAGCAAATTTGTTGGCCTTTCTTTAGTTTCCCTAGAAACACAGGATGTGAAGGAACACAGTAGCAGAAGGGAATCACAGGTGGGAAGGAAAAACGTCTCCAGAGAAGATGAGAAAAATTCATGCTCTAGACCGCATTCATCTGTAAGAGAGAAAGTGTAGTGACATTACTACACTGCTCCTATAAAATGCAGACTCATAGCTAACATTCCCTGTGTGTCCTACAGTAGAAAGACATCCCCCAGCAAAAAACCACCATGGGATTAGAGAGCCTGCAACATGTGCTATCCGTTTTCCTGGCCTAATCGAGACCTTTTATATCACCTAAGCTGATGGATTATTACTCTGCAGCCTGCCAGCTTAATTCTGTCAATTCATCCAGGCTGCATAAAGCTTTCTGCTGTTGGGCAAGTCTGGGGACTGAAAAATGTGACAAATCTGCTCATGCAAAACAAGGGTGAGGCAGTGCTGAGCTGCACGCCAGAGGGAGAGACGGACCTGGGGAAAATGACGAATTTTTCTTAAAGGCCACTCAGTAGGAATAACAGATGAAGGAGTTTCAGGTACTGGCTAGACAAGCAGAAGGCTTAGGAACTCCTCCCCCAGCCGTGCCTCTGACGCAGCTGCCTCCAATAGGGTGTTCGCAGACCCAGAACTGCTCATCCACAGGACACAGCCTGAAACAAACATCCCCCCTCACGTCTACGCCGGGCCCTCCCTTTACTCCAGGTGCTCGCAGCCAGGGGTGATTCTGTCCTCTGACCACACCTGGAGACATTCTGGATCATCATGGCTGGGTGTGGGGTGTGGCCTGTTGGCATCCATCCAGTGAGGAGAGGCCACGGATGCTGCCATCCATTCTGCAATGCAGAGGACAGCCCCACCCCGGGAATCACTCACCCCGCAAATACCAACAGCAACAGAGCTCTAGACTACACGCCTCTTGAAAACTGAATCTTTTTTTTTTTTTAAATCCCAAGTACTCAATAGCGGGTGGTATACAGTGGGTTCCTAGGAAAATATTTTGGATTGAAAAGCACAGTGAAGGTTTTGCCCCTATGTTTCAGTCTGGCTGAGAGTAAGAATATGTAAAGATGGTGGTCTTTAGAGAGACAGAAAGCAAGTGAGCATGGATTCAAATCCTGTTACTGTGTCTTACTGGCTGTGTGACCAAGCCATGTTCCTTAGCCTCTATATCCCAAGCTCCTCATCTATTCAAAAAAGACGAACAGTCCCTAACAGACTTGTTGAAAGGGTTAAATTATACAGCATATGTAGAATACTTAGTATGTGCTGTGTGCTTAGTCGCTTAGTCATGTCTGACTCTTTGTAATCCCATGAGCTATAGCCCACCAGGTTCTTCTGTCCATGAGGGTTCTCCAGGCAAAAATACAGGAGTGGCTTGCATGTCTTCCTCCAGGGGATCTTCCCAACCCAGGGATCGAATCCAGGTCTCCCGCTTTGTAGGCAGATTCTTTACCAGCTGAGCCACCAGTGAAGCCCAAGAATACTGGAATGGATAGCCTATCCCTTCTCCGGGGGATCTTCCCAACCCAGGTATCAAACCAGGATCTGTTGCATTGCACGTAGATTCTGTACCATCTGAGCCACCAGGGAAGCCCAGAAGAATGCTTAGTATGGTCGATGGAAAATAGCAGACAATTAATAAATGTTCCTACTAATATCAGCATTGCCCAAAGGCCTCCAGGAGAGAAGCCTGGTTCTCATGTAGTCCTGGAGGAAAAAGTTTACTGTACAGGAAGCCAGACTAAACAAATACTGCAGTCAGGCTACAGAGAACACTGTTGCTCTGTCTCAGGAGGCTGCAGTTCTCCAGCTCCGGAGCGGCACCAGCCGTCAGCTCCAGTGCCTACTGCTCTAGTGCGACAACCCCCAGACATAACCGAACACCAGCCAGCTCCATGAAAGGTCTATTTCAGAGCATACGCCCTAACTCCAAGACTGGACGCTAGCAGGAAATCAGGCCAAGGTGGAGGACAATTTGGGACAGACAAGGTGGAGTTCAGCCAATTCGGAGACAGAATCCAACTTTTATTTTGTCTCACCAGTGCTGTGCCCATATTAGAGCCTGTTTTAGCTCCTAAATCTTCCATGGATTTAATCCGGAGATTTGTATGTGTGCGTATGTGCAAAAATAGATTTTATTCTACAAATGAAATGAATAAAATCACCTGGAATAGAATGGATGGCTCCTGGGCAGGGGGAGAGGGGATCCAGAGCCATAAAACCATTTCCTAGTATTTATTTAGAGTAAATAGCTTCCACTGTTATTATTCCCAGAGCACAGAGAAGCACAGAGAAAGCAGTCATGCTGCATGCACAGATGGAGGGGACTAATCCATCTTATTTTCTCAAGGTCACAGGGGATAATGGTGTGATAGAGATGGAGCTCTGATTTCCAAATAACAAACACAAGCCTTTCCCCCAAAGGTTACGCTGCCTTCATCTTAATAAGCCAGAATAGCACACACTCAGTGTCAAGTGAAAACAGCTTCCCTGGGGTACAGGTTTTAAATGAATCAGAGATGAGCTTTCTAGGTGAGGGGGGGGGTCTCAGGAGAGTAGACAAGAACATGCAGTCCAGAGGCACCCCGGGGGGATTCAAATATTCATTCCCTCATTTACTGACTACCTGATCTTAGGCAAATTTGTTAGTTTTGGAGAGATGTTTTGCCTACATCTGTAAAATGGGAGAAAAAATAATATCTAACTCAAAAGATCAGTGTGAGGACTAAAGTTACTACCAGTGGCATGCCCGGTACACAGTAAGAGCTTAGGAAGTGTCACCTATTAATAGTGATGATGACCATGACGATGCAACCTGCTTGGGAACAACAAACAAACAAGACGGTTGTTAGGTTCTGTCCATTGGTCTTACAATTTCTGAACAGGGCTTTACAGTTATTCCAGCTTTGTGCTGGGCTCACAGAGCACTTCAGAGCAGAGTGGGGAACTACATTCCAACAGAGAATGCAACCTTATACATGTAAAAGTTTCGTTTTTCACTTGCCAATAGAACTATTTTGCTATTACACTACCTAAGCATTTTTCCAAGTAATTTTTTTTCAGCCTCAACAATCAGAAGGGTGTAAGAAAGCACAGTCTCTAAAGATTTTAGCATGTACTTCTGCAGGTAAGGGAAAAGGATAAGGTTACATGCCAGAAACTTGAGTCTAAACAGATACTACTAATGACACACAAATGCATTCCCTGAACTCAAGGATGTGTGACCCTGAATGTCAGAAGATGGCGCCCTCTTAACCGGCATCTGCTCCCTCCCCAACTTAATGCAATCTGTGCCAGGACTACCCTCCCCTCACCACTCCCCAACCCCTCCAGCCCTGGCCTGGGCAAACAGCGATAAATTCAGACTGGGGATGACTCAGAGAGATTTTAAAAAAAAATAGGAAAAATTTAAAAAATGAACTGGAATAGCTTCATGTGGAAAAGAGCTTAAAATTAAACAGCATCAGGAAACATCCAGCCAATAAAAAATAAGACTTTTAAGAGGAAAGATTTCAGGCAGACAATGCTCTCTGACACTCTGAAAAACATTCTCCCAAAGAAAGAATCACTCTTTGGTGGACAGCCTGGTTCCTATCCTTATACTGACACTCATGACAGTATTTCATTCCTTGAACTTTTTACTCTTGACAAGCCCTTCACAGCTCCAGGTGTGAGCGGCACAAGTTAGCTCTCAAACCTAAAGCAGGTGAAAATGTTTCATTGTGGCTCACCAAGTCTCTACAAAGATTGCAACTACCAAGCTTTAGTCTCCTCCCTTTCTAAAAATAACACCTCTTCACTCAGACACAGGGCTGAAACAACAGGCCAAAGGAAAATATTTTCTTATAAGGAAAATCTTAGTTCCTTCATATATGAGATTTCTACATGGATAATTTTGAAAGGTAGAGGGCGAATTTTTAAATGTTGGAAATATTATTTTGGGGAAGGTGCAGAATACCAGAAATAAAGATCTTGGTGACAATGTAGCTTGTTTAAACACAGCAGGCTCCAACTTGTCATAGCTTATCTAGAAAACATGCTTCTGGGCCCCCTCCGAGAGCTCACAGACATGCCCAGGGTTGGCCAGGAGCCTTCCTAGCCTCGGAGAGCCAACACTGAGAGCACCCCTGCGTGGTGGTACTCACCATGTCGAATTCTACAGACCCCACCATCCGAGACACCTCGTCGAACTCCTCAGGAGACATGGGAAGAAGGTTGTCTGTGGTCTGAAGTCGAGAAGGGTGGCTACAATGGGGGAGAAAAAAACAGGAAATGTTGACATCTGAATTGTGAAAGCAGTGCCACCAACTTGGCCATTTCATCTCTGGCCTGTGACTGAATCATCGCTTTAGTCTATTTCAAGACAAATGTGTGTAATTGTAAGATACATTTGAAAAAGCAAGGATCTCAAGAGGTTCATGTCCCCAGCCCGGCCCCTCATGAAGCACGTTGGACTCTGGATATGTGAGCGAGAAATAGCCAGTCTGGGTCCTGCACCACTTCTGCCTAGGTAAACCTGGGTGCAAGCATGTGCAGCGCGTTGCCTACCCTGGCCCAAGAAGCGCCAGAGGAAATGTCTGGGGAGTCCCTCATCCCTACCTTGAGGTTTGTATGCAGATAAAGCTGCTCCAGAGGGTTTTTACATGAAGGCTACATCCATTCACCCCAAGACAGTGCTGCAGGCCAAATAACTGACAATGACTTTTCCAAATTTTTTTCTACCTTTTACAAAATGAAACAACAAAATAAAAGCAAGCGGACAAAAAAAAAAGGTATCTCAATCATTACTTTGGCCTTTTCTACATTAAAAAGAACTGCTTTCCCACTCTCATCAATTTTTGTTCATTTTATTTACACTCTTTCAAAATATCAGTTTGGGGAGAACTTATATACCTTAAATACAACCTTGTTTGGGGTTTTTTTTTTTTTTAATAAAGGCAGTGAATCACTGACAGGGAGTGACACAAGTATCTCTAATTAGGATCTCTCCGACGAGTCCAACTGTGATGATGACAGCAGCAATTACAATGAAAAAGCAAAGAATAAGCATCTTCAACAGGCCCCAGCCAGGACAGGGGGCTTGTTTGAGGATTTTAAACATGTCACTCTTCTGTGTTCACTTACACTTCAGACACAGAAATCAATTCAGTCTTGATGTATCCGGTTCCTTTAGGGCCATCAAGTTCCATAGGCTCTGGGGCTAGAAGCAAAGACATCATGGACACTTTCCGTTAGCAGATATCACACAAGAACAATCAGCTGGGACGTCCCTGCTGGCTCAGAGGTAAAGATCCCTGAACCGGGAGGATCCCACGTGGTGAGGGGCAACTAAGCCCATGCGCCGCAACTAATAAGCCTGTGCTCCACAGCCTGGGAGCCGCAGCGACTGAGCCCATGCCCCCGAGAGCCCAGGCCATGCAAAACGAGAAGCCACCACAAGGAGAAGACCAGGCACCGCAACTGCAGAAAAGCCTGAGCAGCAGCAAAGACCCAGCACAGCCAAAAATAAGCTAAAAAAAAAGAACAATCAACTTTTTCTTTGATCAAGACTGGATTGTTTTCCTTGGCAGTCAGGTTAGATCCCCTGCCTGGGTCATCTGAAATCGTGGTGTGGATGCAGAAACAACGAGAAAAGGGGAGGTACGTTCTGTGCTGAACATAGACAAGATGGGAGAGGCTTTTCTTTCCAAGGCCTGAAGTCCTACAGAAGTTGTATCTGGTTTACCGTCCTGGCCTGGCTGGTGTCACAGACACATCAGTCAAGGTGAGCTGGGGGCATCTTCTCCCCAAGTAATTGTGTTAATACTGAGATAAGATCCTGAAAAACCATTAACTCTGTTGGCATATTCTAAAGCAGGTGAGTCTAACTTCCACTTTCTCAAATACTGTTGAGGAAGACTGAGTAGTAGAAGACCTGTGTGCTAAGCCCAGACCTGCTCTCAGTGAGCAGGAGGCCTCGTAACTTACTGGGTCACCACGCGGGGACCACTTCTCTTCACCCAGGCCTCCGCTTCCTCAAGTTCAGGCGTGGGCTGACATAAGTCAGGTGACCATCAAAGGTCCTTTTATCCCTTCCACTCAGAAAAAGTAAAAAATGTAACAAACACAGAAGACCAGAAGTGGGCTTTTCCAACACCCCTAAAATCAAAAATCATTTGTTCCTTTCTAACTCTCTGTATCAGGCCAAACAATGCATTATGTGTCAACTGTACTATGTTTTGAAGGCCTGCTTTTACCAGTTCAAAAGGAAGGGATGGGCTGGTAGAATTTATGCCGGTACCCTGTACTTAAAAGAAGGTAAGGGCTGTGTGGAGGAGTCGGACTAAAGCCTATCTGCAAACCTCTGGACAAGATGAAGGGAGAATATAACCATGGCAACAACTAGGCTGTGCTATGACTCAGCAGGCAACTCCTGTGCACTCTCCCCACTTACCTTCCTTTGGCCTGGAGTAGTATTTTCCAAAGGCATGGTCTTTATCAATATTTGGATACAGAAACTTCAGGGGATTCTCTGGAATATTTTCAGCGGCCATGACTTTATAATTGCGAATAATGTCAGGGAAAGTAACAGCAGAAAGTTCTTTCTTTGTGTAGGGTTCAACCGCATGGAAGTAAGGTTCTAAAAGGAAGAAAAGCAAAGTGAGCCCCATGGAATAGCTCAGAACAACAGAGGAAAGAAACAAAATACTGCACAGTTTATGGATTTAACAGAACCTGGTAAGAACTAAACATAATCTAGGAGTTTCATCACAGAGTGTGTAACTGATTCATTCACAGAGTGTGTAACTGATTCATTTCTAAATAATTATCCTTTCATTAAGACAGGAAAAACAAAGGCCATCATCACTCTCAATAACATTGCATTTGTCATTATTTACTTAGTTTTATAAGTCTAGTCAAAAAAATTTTATTAGACACCTATAAAATAATTAATTACCACTTGAGTCTTCTTGGTTCAAGCCATAGATTAGGTTAACAGAAAACTTCACTTCTTTTCATATTGAAAAATGAAAATAAATGATGACAATACAAGGAAAACTTTTTAAACAAACCAAAAATGGACCCTATTTGCTATCTTTTTCTGTAATTCTGAATGCAAAATCACCCAAACTTTAATTGGCTCCTGGTCTTAGTTTCAGACTTCACTGAACTCCTGCTTCCTAACTGATTCAGGATCTCACTTTGGGGCTCATAGTCCAGAGGTCAGGTGCTCTAGGGACTCTGCTCCTGAACTTCAGACCAAAGCTGGTGCTGCCCTGCTAAGACTTCCCAGTTGTCAGTGGTGTACATCTTTGCCTGCTTTGCTAGCTCCATCTCTCTGCAAGTTCCAGAAAGACCAACCAGATGAGAAGCAGAAAAGGCAGGCTCTGCCACCTACTGTCCTCCCTCCCTGGGCTCTAATCCCGGCTCTCCTGTTTTTCACCAGAAGAAAAAATAAATAGAAGTAGAAAAATCATCCCATCTTATCGCATCTTCTAATTGAAGGCAGAAGTCACTGGAATAGATCAGTTTTCCCTCCAACCCTTCAAACAGAGCAAACTAAAAGTAACAGTGAAAAGTCACCAGTTTGTCTTTAACCTTTTTTCATCTCCACTGAAAAGTGTTTCTTATTCCCCAGAAACCTGTTTTGTATACTTAGGTTTTCGAAACTGTTTTGCCATGGATGTACTACATCAGATAGAAACCCAAGATACAGCCCAGATAAATGTGCACCTGCTCTGTCTGAAGGCAGGGTCGAGAACCAGTCCTGGGACCCCCCTCAAACAACCAGCCCTCATCCTAGTACATCCACATGTGATTCCCCTCAGTGGTTCTGGAAGCTTATGCCTGCACACAATGGGTTTCCTCCCAACAACTAGCTGCTAGTCATAGTGACTCACATTCTTCACCTACAAGTATCAAACCTGAACAAGAGGAAAGAATGTGACCTTGTCTTTTAAACAACCATTACATATACAACAGGTTCCAGGCAGAGTCCCACAAACCCTTGGGTATACAATAAATCCTATTAGGGAAGCTCAATTGGGGTGGGGTATAGGAGCTGCAATTTTATGTCACAAGCTCATTATTTGTACGAACTGATATGCAGTGAAGAGGAAGGGCTTGCACCTGTGGGTTGAATAAGGATGTATGCAGGAACCCTGGCTTACCGCCTCCATTCTGGGACCGCTCCACCCACGTGAACGTGATCGCCCCTTCCCGGCAGCTCTCGCTGAAGCGCAGCAGGAATGTCCCGGGCTGTTGGTCCTTCAGCAAGGCCCGCTCTCGCTCCTTGCTAATAAAGCCCACGATACACCTGGATGTGGAAAGGGATCAACGGAGGCACTCTGAGGTTTGGTCATGACTCTATAATTTTCCTGCTCATTTACCAACCAAGACTGCAACATGATACAAGAACACAGGATAAAAATGTATAGACTATTTTAGATGCTTTAAAATCTATTTCATTGACACTTTAGGAATCATTTCAGTCATATGTATATATGCTTGCTGCTGCTGCTGCTAAGTCACTTCAGTCGTGTCCAACTCTGTACAACCCCATAAACGGCAGCCCACCAGGCTCCCCCAACCCTGGGATTCTCCAGGCAAGAATACTGGAGTGGGGTGCCATTTCCTTCTCCAATGCATGAAAGTGAAAAGTGAAAGTGAAGTCGCTCAGTCATGTCCGACTCCTAGCAACCCCATGAGCTACAGCCTACCAGGCTCCTCTGTCCATGGGATTTTCCAGGCAAGAGTACTGGAGTGGGTTGCCATTGTCTTCTCCGCATATATATGCTTAACTCCCCCAAAAGCTCATTAACCTGGTGCCAATAGATGATCAGTAAATACTTTCTGGATTAATGAGCCTTTCATTTTCACTTGGTGATTGAAAATGTCTGAATTTATGCATCTTTTACAGTGAAGAGGAAGGTTCAGACAATCCATTTTCATATTCTTAACTTCTGACCAAGTTAAAGCCTTTGCTGAAATCTCAACTGACCCTGAGAATAAATTAGAAACGATTTACTGAGTTGGACTTCCCCGGTGGCTCAGTTGGTAAAGAATTGCCTGCAATGGAGAAGACCCAGGTTCGATCCCTGGGTCAAAAAGACCCCCTGGAGAAGGGAAACAACCCACTCCAAGTGTTCTTGCCTGGGAAACACCATGGACAGAAGAGTCTGGTGGGCTACAGTCTATGGGGTTGTATAAGAGTCGGACACAACTGAGTGACTAACACTTTGAACTTACTGTGCTAACAACAGCTTTTTCTTCCTTACCGGGAGGCAATAAAGAAGATGCTCAAGAAATTTTTTTAGAATGAATGTATGCATGGCACTCAGGATTTTTAAATTCAGCTTTGAAAATGGGGATATGTGTGTACCCATGGCTGATTCATGTTGAGGTTTGACAGAAAACAGAATTCTGTAAGGCAATTATCCTTCAATAAAAAATTAATTTAAAAATGCATATACATTTATTATGGAAGTATAAGTTTAATCTTACGAGGGCCCACTATCATGAATCCCTGAAGGGACAGCCCGTAAGCATCTGTTTCAGTGGGATGCTCACAAACCTCGCCAAATAATAAAGTCTGTCTTGGTCAGGACTATCTCGGCCTTGCAGTAACGGAGTCTGTGCTCAACATATGCTTCAAAACTACTTCTATCAGTGGCCCTTACCCATCATTCCAGAGAGCAAGCAGGTGTTTTTTAATGAGTTCAAGGATGCTTTCGATCCAAAGCCAGAAAGGAAAATTTTTATCATTTATATTTTCCTGTAAATAAATAGATGCACACATTAGAAATCAAGAAGTCCCAAACTCTGACTTCTCCTGTCTCCTCCTACCCTTGGGTTTTAGTTTGCAAAGACTGCCCAGCTGCCAAAGCTAGCACTGTCTCCTACAGAGGTGTCCCGCCCCTGCTTATCGGCTTTCAGACACCCAGCGCTCCACTTCCTGAGCCAGACTCTGCTTCCCTCTCCAAACACGGGTGACCTGGCCAGGGCATGACCCCCTGGGTGATCACAGTGCCTTCCCAGCGCTGGACTCCAGGAGCTCGAGCTTGTCAGTACTGTCTGGTGACCCTAGCGGGGTCTGATTACCCCCCTGAACTGGGCCCCTGCTTGAGTAGGCTCGGGGACGGTCATCCAGCCCACAGGCTGTCCACGCCGGCACAGAGCACATGTCACTCATGGACGGGGCTAAAATGCTGCTGAGCCAGAGTCCAGTGTGAGCAAACAGAGGATGCATTTCGGATGTGAGAGAATGTTATCACACAGACAGGTGCTTCCTGTCAGACTCACACTTGGAGCCTAAACTTCGCGCTGAAGGAAAGTAAACATGTCCTAGGGGTTCTGTGGGCTAGAGGAACCTGCCAAAGCAAGCATGGAGCAGCCAGCACCGTGTTGAGAAATCCAAGAACCCTACAGAGAGCAGAAGGCACTCAGAGTGCAAATCCGAGACAGCACCCACCTTACAGAATCTTGTCCATGGAATCAGACCATCGGGGCCGGCGTTGGGGCCTAAAAAAACAAAAACAAGGTTTTTCAGGAACTGGGAATCAATTCTGAAGCTTTGGCTGGGCTGATGGCTCTTGTATTTGCTCTCAAAGAGCCAACACTCAACCAAGGAAGCGTGTATGCACACGGTCAGTAGTCTCAGATCACTAACACTAGCTCCCTGCGCCTTCTGAGAAGCCGAGGGTGGTCCCTCCGTGTGCAATGTCACTTGCCATTCCCCCCCTCCCTTCCTTACCAGGCTCCTCTCCCAGTGACCCTGCAGTTTTTTTCAAGTGCAAACTAAGACCAAGAATCACTTGCAGGTGATTGATTTAACTGACACAACTTTATATGCTTATTTTAGATATTAATTAGGTATTTCCATCAGCCCTCCTCCAAATAGGACACAGGCTCAGGGAGGCAAACCAAAAGGCAAGTGAGAGAAACGAAAGGGGAAGGAAGCCGGGGGGGTCATCATCTACACAAACCAAAGCGGCTGAGCCATGAGAAGTGGTCAGACTGACACCGCTCTTCACAGAGAATCGCAGATAAGCCATTACAGGCAGGAAGGTATCCATCTTAACTCTCAGCAAGCAAGGGAATGGAATAAGGTGACTCCTTACTTTCAACTAAATTGCACAAGACCCCCCACTGTGACAGCTACACGGCCAAGAGAGGGCACTGCTGAGAGCTATCCAGGTTAGGAAAAGTACACTGATGACTGCAGGACACGCAGCTCTGCTGTACAGAAAGCAAATCTGAAAAAAAAGCCATCTGTGGATTTAAAAAAAAATAGTTCCAATATTCCCATTCATTGAAGATCTGACCTTGAGACTGGTGGGTCTCAGATTTGCTTAGTGTAGAAGACTAATAAATCCATGATATTAGCTACTGAAAGGGAATTCTCTATCTTGGCCTGGACCCTGCCCATCAGGTGGTGTGATCATGGGTATCTCCTGATGTGGGCACTGTCTCCTCCCGTTTGGGCCCCCTGACATAAGAGACCTGGGTGTGTGCTGTGGGGTGGGCGGCCCCAGGACCTGACTCTTACAATGTTGGGGGCTTACTTTTTTCTCCCCAAGGTTAATCAGATTTTATCTTTCTCAGACTTCACCTTTCTCCAAGAATTTATTTTAGCCACAACTAATATATTTTACATAATTCAGAAATCTTTCCCTTAGGAGCCTTGCTCAGAAATGTTAATATGAGATAATGGGAAAATGATTCATTTAAATCTTCTATCAAGTTGGCAACTCCTAAAGTGAGGCATCACTCTCACTTAGCTATAATAAATGGCAGTTGGAAAAGCCAATAGATTCCTAACACTCTCCTACCTTGAATGAAATGAAGAGCAAAGAGGGGAAAGGAGAAGTCAAGATATTTTTCATGAATTTCGACTGTTACATAAAAAGTGAATATGCTCATACCAAGAAGTTTCTCCCCCAGCATGTTGAGCTGGTCCACATTGAGACCTCTTTTGGTGACAGAAGAAAACTGCCAACTCAGCACCTCTGAAAGCTGAGACCATCGTGCACAAGGTGGGTTCAGGAAGAAGGACAGATTCTGGAAAGAAAACACCGAGAAGGTGAAAGCCGCTGATGAGTCACTAGTCACAAGCTCAGCATGGAAACATGGATCTGCGCCAAAGTTCAGCTCTAGTCTCTGACACGTATTTCCACAGCAGCAGGAGAGAAACGGTTCTCACTGTTTGCAGACTCATATCTGTGCATTTATCTACTCACTAAAATTTAACTCCCGAATCAATACTCATGGCACTTTGGCACTCATTTGTGGACATACCCAGGCACAGAGTCGTGAATACTTTGAGTCACCAAACATGTATGTTTCCGGTTGAAGTCAAACAAAGCTATGCTCCGCCTTCCTGATTCAGCTCTCACACTACACCCAAGTGTCCTCTTTGAGGTCTGTTTAATGCTGTGGTCTTTACATTTCTGTAGGGTTTTTGCTGGTGATTTCATTTAAAATGTCCCTCAAAGGCAAGTTGAAGTGCTGTCTAGTGTTCCTAAATGCCTTAAGGAGCAAATGCACATGATATATAAGTTTTGTTCAGACTGAGTTATAAAGCTGTTTGCCATGAGTTCGATGTTAATGAATCAACAAGCATGTTAGATAAGGGATCTTTAAACAAAACAAGGTGATGTATTGATCTGCAGATGCGAGGGTTTTGCCAGAGGCTGGCAGGAACCCATACTTCCCTTAGGCACAGTGATTCAGTATTTGCTAAATCAGTGTTCACAGTGACTTCAAAGAACCTAAGTATAGTGAATAACTGGAATCAATTGTAATTAACCGACCATGAGTATCCACACTCTTAAGAACAGAGCCTGCTTGTTTAGCAAGTGTATACATTTTTTAAAAAGCATAACACAAAATCATCTGTTGCCCAAGCTTATTCACAAGGGAAAATAATAATTTTTAACTTCTAGTACATACACATGCTTCTGGAATGCTTTGCTATTCCAGAATTACTCAGCTGCTTAGCAATGAGTTGAGTTGTGCCACTTTCCCCTCAACATCTGGTCCATACAGGCTCTTTCAAATATGCAGAACTAGAGCGAGGGGGGAGGGGGGGGGGTCCTTTAAACCCTAGTATGAAAATAGATGTGTTTTCCTTACCCGGGGTTCTGCCACCAGCATGTTGTACCACAGGATAGAGGCCCAGCCACTTGGAAGCTGGCTGACATTGGAGATCACCACGATGGGTAGAGAGGTCGTCTACAAGATGACAAAGACCTTGAAATCCTCGGAATCCCAGAAGCAGTACCTGCAGACCACTATGCAGCCTCACAGCTAAACAAGGAACCCTATGTACATTTGCATATATTTCATTCTTGAAAATTAAGAATGTAAAGGTACAGTCTTTTGTTTTTAGTTGAATTTATCTTTGACATACATTTTCAATTAAGAAATAAATGTCAAAGCTTCATATAAAAAATTAACACAGGACATCTTAACTGGAACATTGGCTTATTGGAGCTTCCCTTGTGGCTCAGCTGGTAAAGAATCCACCTGCAATGTGGGAGACCTGGGTTCGATCCCTAGGTTGGGAAGATCCCCTGGAGAAGGGAAAGGCTATCCACTCCAGTTTTCTGCACTGGAGAATTCCACGGACTGTATAGTCCATGGGATGGCAAAGATTCAGACACAATTGAGTAACTTTCACTTCAGACAAAGGTTAACTTAGTTCTGAAGCAGACTGAACAATTNCTGGAGAATTCCACGGACTGTATAGTCCATGGGATGGCAAAGATTCAGACACAATTGAGTAACTTTCACTTCAGACAAAGGTTAACTTAGTTCTGAAGCAGACTGAACAATTAAATTAGCATTGAGACAGTACTGGCTGAAAACAGCAATCTTTTTTTTTTTTTTTTAACAATTAGATAAGTATGTCTAAAATAAAAATACATGTATCAGTTTAAAGTAAAAATAAAGTTTCCCATACCGGGAACATGTAAGTCTTACCTCAAGGTCAATGACCAAACCAGGCTGGCACAACTGGGTTTCAAAACTAAGGGAGTGAAGCTCTTCAGTGACGATGAGAGGACCCTTGAAAAAGAAAATGGGAAAAACACAAATACAGTGATTTGTTCATTGATCCTGTAATTAGCAAGAAACTACTAAGCATTTTAACAAGCTCCAGGAAGCATGAACCCAATCAGGGACAATTTAGAAGATTCTAGCTTTTAATAATCTATCCCAGATTTAATTATCCTGAGTATCACAGTGTTCTCTCAAAGACCAGATTTCTAATATTTTGGCAAGGGTTATGGATCAAGGGGGAAAAATGTTGATAGGGAAATAGAAACTTCTAATGAGTTTATTCACAACCTAAGGCTTCCCAGCCCTCAGTCCCCTCTGCCCACCACGGACCTGCCTGGCCTGGGCTGCATACCTCAGGCTGACAAGGGGTGGAAAGTGTAAACATGTTCCAAGTGTGATTATCTACCAGGAGAGCAGATTTGCATAAGCCTGGCAGGTTATAAAGTGCCTTGGTTGGTTTGGGTAGAAAGGTTATTGTGTTCCAAGTGCCTTCATACACATTATCTAATGTGAGCCTCACAACAACCTTAGAACCAGAGAAGTGTGACTCCATCCCTGCTCCTGGGCGAGGAAATGAAGTTCCTAGCTGGTCACTGAGAGTCAAGATCCAAAGATGAGGGCTGGTCAGGCCCAGGGGGGCACCTGTTCCACAGCGCCACGCGCCCTCTGCTGGTTGTAGTAGGGAAGGACAGAGTGCTCGGCAGGCACAAAGAACAAAGTCCGACCAAACCAAAGCAACTCCAGCCATTCTGTCGTCTGCCCATGGTTCATCTCTGAACGCATCCCAAACATAGCTCTTCAAGGACAAGCTGTGACGAGGGGACTGACAGAAGGATAATGGCACTGGACAGGGCACACAGTTTTTGGCAGGGCAGTCATGAAGCTGGCCTCTGATTCTAGCTCTGATAACTATTTCCTGTGCACACTTAGCTAACTCTGGCAAACTTCCTGTGGTCCAATTTCCTCACCTGTGAAATGTGAGTAACATAGTAGCCCACTGCACCTCCTCCGCTGGGCTGTTGGTGAGGGTCCAGAAAATTCATGTGCAAAATCACTTGACAACCAGAAGGCACACGCAGAGAGTGGCTTTACTGTTATCACACACACACCACATCCCAGAGCTCGTCTGCTGCTCTTACCTGCTGGTCTTTCCCGCTGCTCACCCCTCTGAGAGGTGTCCCTGGTCACCCACGACCACCAGGGCCGTGGAGCCAAGCTCATTGGACAGAGCTGCTAGTTAGGAGACCAGTCATGACAGAAAAAGACTTACCTCATTAGTTCTGGCACCAGCATTTTTTTGTTCTTTCAGTTGCTAAAAAAAAAAAAAATCTTAGTAAATAGCTATATAATAATCCTCAAAGTTGCTACTTCCATCTACAAATCAAAACAAAGTGGGGACTTAGAATGAAGGAGGTGACAATATTTTCAGGATGCAGAACAGGAGGTGAAGTGACCCTTGTAGGGGCTTATGAGGTGAAGGGGGGAGTGCCTTTCCCCAGCATCCCGACACCCTGCAAACACCGCAGGGTTCAGAAGCAGCCAGGGAAGTGGCATGCTGCCCCCTCCCCTGGGCAAGCTCATCCTAAACTGTCCCCGTCACCGTCAGCAGCTGAGCCAGGCTCCCCAGGCTGTGGGCACAGCTTCTCCCACCTCTGCTTCCCTCGGCAGAATCTCCCAGGCTGGCCCAGCATCTAAAGCTTCTCAGACCGTCCTTTGAAAAGGTCTTCAATCACATAGCTTTTAAGGAAGCAACTTGGGGCCCCCGGAACAGCTCTGGACACCCTCAAACTCCCGGTTTCGACCAAGGCTCTCACTTAAGGTCCAGCTTCCTAACCATGAGTTTGTGGGCTCCTGAGACGGCTGCCAGTAAGAAAAAGGCTGCAGGTTCCAGGCCAGGAAGTGCATAGGGCTCAGCACCATCACCTCTGCAGAACACCTGGCAGCCCCGCATTTTCAGGGAGAGAGGGGAGAAGGCACCACCTCTATAAACCCCTCTGCTGGCTTCCACTGCCCAGTGCCCGGGCCCTACTCCCCCGGAGACAAAGTGGTTGAGACAGTGGTCGCAGGCAAGACCCCAGGAAGGAGACGGTGATGAAGGGACCCAGGAGACACCCCTGAGGTCTGCCACACTTGGAGGGGTCGAAGCACCAGTCAGAATGTGGGGGAGTAACGACCTTCAGGAAAATTCCAAGAGTCTAGAGTGAGTGATCGCTCAGGTGGTTGAGGGACCACATGCAGAGAGCTTGCGTGCACGCTGGCTTGTGGAATATTTTACTGAGCTCACTTCCCCCAACGAAGGCATATCTGAGAGAGAGACAGGCAGAGAGAGAGAGTGAAGAGCCCTGGGATGAGGAGGAGAAGCCAGGATTCCCCAAGTCCTGCTGAAGTCTCCAGCCACAAACTCTAGAAGTCTCCTCCCAGAGGAGCCCCTCTACATCACATATGGCCAGAGTGCCACTCCACTGTAAGCAAGTCCTGACAAGCCAGACACAGCAGAAAAGGGGGAGACGAGTCTCCCTACCAGGTGTCGGAATTCTGCCGCCAGACTCCCATTGGTGGACTCTTCCATGTTCATCACCTTCGTGTGAGTGCCCAGAATGTTGAACTTCCTAAACCTAGACAACACAGGGAAGGGATACTTAAAAGGCTGAGGACTGTTAAAGCAACACACAAACAAAGCAGAGAGCAGAACAGAGTGCAAAGTATTTCACGTACCCTTTTACTGTATTTCTCTCATTCACATCTCTACAAGAAAAAAAAAAAATGTAATCATACATGTGCATTTAAAATGTGAAATTCGCATTCACAAACATATAAAAGTATAAGATCAATGACCAATAAATCTATACCTATGGGTTTTCTTGCCTATCATTCACTCAGTCCCTCAATCAACCCACGCCAGCACTGCCAAGTTTTGCTGAGTAACCTTGGGCAAGTAAACTGGGCCTCACCTTTTCTCTTCTGTACATCCTGCCAGCAGAACCAACCACACAGCACACCGGCAAGAAGAAACTAGTCAATGGGTAAGGAGAGCACGCAGCGCACCCTCAGGAAATGTAAGCCTGAGTTATCACAACTTACGGAGCAGTTACTCCCTCTGCAGGAGGCAATGAGCTAAGGCCTAGGGACTCAGCGGAGAGTACGGCTCTGGGTCACAAAACTCAGAGGACCCTCCAAAGTGACAGCTCGAGTCTTATTTTTGCTCTTTATTAGTTTTAATGCTTTCATGAAAGTACCTGAATAGTCAATTATTTGGGGAAACTGCCAAGTTTTAAACCTGAGGTTAAAATTTTGAGAGACCAGAATCTTAGGATTCTGTTGTTCAGCGATAATGTTGTCATCTTCTGGACAAATAATGTATGTTAGGGGCAGGTGAAGGTCAGAGACCATTCGTGCGCTCCCAGTTAAATGAGTTAGCCTCCTTTCCTGTCCCAACTAGACGTTCAGCGCTTTTGTGGCTGATAATCACTGTCAGCTATGACAGTGACCTATTTTCCTGCCAAAACTAAGAAGAAAACTTCAGAACTGGAATAGACAGAAAAGACAAAAAGGCAAGAACAAACCGAAAGAGACTGACTTAAGCAAACTGTGGCAAAACTGCGGTGGCCACAAAAACGTCTGCAACTCTGCCTTTAAAGACACAGAACGTATTTCCTTGTCTCTTGAATTTCAGGGGACTCTGACTTGCTTTTCCAGACACCATGGATGGGAGCAGTGCTATGCAAGTTCCAAGGCTGGACTAATAGGCCCAGCACGCTGCTGCTTGGATCCACTTGGAACACCACGGCCATGAGAAAGCCCAGGCTGGCCGCTCTGACAGCCCCACAGAGAAGGGCCCAGTTATCCCAGCCAAGACCTCAGACATATAATGAGGTCATGCTAGACCACCCAGCAACAACCAGGCCAGCTCAGATTAGAAGGACCACCCACAACCCACAGAATAATAGAAATAACAAGTTTCTGAGTTTAAACCACCAAGTTTTGAGGTTATCTGTTATGCAGCAAAAGCGAACTGATACAAAGAAAAACCAAAGAAGATGGGAGGAAAACAAAGGTACAAACAAAGAAGGCTATAGTTACAGGAATAGAAAGAGACAAAAGCCAGAGGAAAGTGACTTAAGAGTATCATAAATGGTTTGAAACGTAGTAAACACACCAACAAAAGCATTAAATATATCAAGGGGGAATGGTAGGGGCTAAGCCATCTTGTTCCTTAATGTAAGTGCCTAGGTCACTGCTAGTTTGGGTTCAGGGTCTAAGGACAAAACAGGATAGACCTGCTCCATTTAGACCCCTTGAGAGCCTGCCCATTCCTGGGTCCCTACTGTTCAGATGAGACAAGTGTAAAGCCAGCAAGCTCCATACATGCCCCCCAAAATGCCATCAGTTTCACTCCAGAAACAGGCCCACACTGGCCAAAGAATCACGGTGGCCTGGAGCCTGATCAAGAACCCCTTCTCTGGGGCTGGCCTAGTTGAGGTGGTAGCTGCTTGGAACAAGCATATATGCATAAAATGCACTCATACTTTTGTTCATTTGTAGTCTAAAAAGGCACGCTGATACCAGCTCTTAGATAAAGTTCCCAATACCCAGGAATTACTGGTTTAAATGGGCTGGAATAAATAACGAACAGCCCCACTGCATCAGTCCGTGTTTAGTTAACAAAACCAACGTTTCAACAGTATATGTAGCCTTGATATTAGCAATATCTTACTTGTCAAATAAGACTTTGACTTTCAAGTTATAATTCAGCTCTTGCAACTTCACCAGCAGCCTGAAAAAAAAAATAAAATTCATAATTACTTTTTAAAATTATCTATTATGCCAAATCCATATTGATGAACATTTCAACAAGCCCCACCCCATCCAGTTTTTGGTAATTACAAACAATGGAACTGACATCCTTGTATGCTTACTTGGATTTTTTTTTTTAAGTGTATTTGTAGGATAAATTCCTAGATGTGAAGTTGCTGGGACAAAACTGTAATATTAAATTCTGACAGCAAGCAACAGATTTTATATTCACACCAAATGTAGTGAGGGCACCTGCTTCCCCATTCTGCCTCACCAATACTGGGGTTTATCAAAATTTCTATTTTGGGCTAATTCTATAGGTAAAAAATGGGCTTCCCTGGTGGCTCGGCACTAAAAAATCTGCCTGCCAATGCAGGAGATGCGGGTTCGATCCCTGAGTCAGGAAGATCACCTGGGGAGGAAATGGCAACCCACTCCAGTATTCTTGCCTGGGAAGTCCCGTGGACAGAGGAGTCCAGTGGGCTACAGTCCATGGGATCACGAAGAGTTGGACATAACTGAGTAACTAAACAACAACAGAGGTAAAAAATAGCAAACTTTACCCTTTACCAAAACTTGTATCTAATGCTTAACCTGTTGGGAGAAAATAAAAACTCTGACCCATAATCAGGAAAATGAGGGTCATCTCTCTAACCACTCCAGGGCAGTGTGGAAAGATAGCGGGACAGAACCCCGTGCTGAGACTCGTGTGTTTCTGTTCTGATGAGCCAGAGGCCCGGGGAAGAGCCCCTGACGGGCTGGCTCCCTTTAGTCAAGCAGGTGGTGGGATGAGATGCTCCCCGTGCCAGCTGAGTGCTGGGACTTCATGGGTGTCAGAGTCTTGTGCCACTGCACTGGTAGCTGTGTGGACCTAACTCAGCAGCACCATGGAAAAAATGACTAGGGCCAACTCTGAAGGTAAGTCCAGCTCTTCTGAGGCCAGCTGCTCATCAGTAGAGGAAAAGCTATTAATAAATGAATGCAGCCATGCAACCGAAGAAAGTAAAGGTGGACATTCTCATACGGAAACATTTCTACAATTTATTACAAAGGAGAAAAACAGTCTGCCGAACAACAGACAGCAGAACTCTGGTTTCTAAAAATGAAATATATCATGTAATACATACTTTCGCAAGTCTATGCATGAAAAACACATGTATATAAAAGTACAATGTATTTATTTATATATTCATGTATACATGGACAAAATTCTGGGAGGACTGACACCAGGCTGCTTAACTGTGGTAGTCTACAGATATTTAGATCACATACAACTTTGAGAATTTGATGATAGTTATGAACAAACACACTCACCAGAAAAATGTACCAGTCATTTACACACACTGCATCCATTTCAGGGGGAACATAAAGCTCAGGTTATAGGCTCATGCTCAAGAGGGGATGAGGCTACTGGGAACTTTTATTCTCTACCATGTGCAGGTCTTCAATTTTGAATTGCTATTTACAGTAAACATTCATTACACCTATAACTGGAAAAAATTGTGGGGTGTGTGTATATACACACATATCTTTGTTATATTTCTAGCTGAATAGAAAAGACTCTTAGATATTCTAAGTAAGAATTCATATTAAAATACCTACTGCAAAATTACTTCCTCTAAAGCACCCCTCTATATAAACATGTTGTGGACAGAAGCTGGGGTGCAAATTTTGTGATAGGAGGTGTGGAAAGAAAGTTAAACTGAAAGTGTTAGTCACTTAGTCATGCCCGACCCTTTGTGACCCCATGGACTGTAGCCCACCAGGCTCCTCTGTCCATGGAATTCTCCTGGCAAGAATACTGGAGTGGGTTGCCATTTCCTTCTCCAGAGGATCTTCTCGGCGCAGATGAACCCAGGTCTCTTGCGTTGCAGCGGGATTCTTTACCATCTGAGCCACCAGGGGAGCCCTAAGGAGGGGTGGGGCTTCCATCTTCTCTTTATTACCTCAGTTTCACAGTGAACTGGACTCCAGTCTTCAAGACCAATGGCCTCTGAGGGTGAGTTGGCATGCAGGGCTGTCTTTCCACCACAAATGAGCTATAAATACCCAGCAAAGGATAAATTAGCATCTCCATTAAATTTGAGGCAGTAAAAAGTTATTTTCCCTAAGGAGGAGAGGGGGCTAGAGGGCACAGTCTAAAAAACAGTTGAAAAACTTTTAATCAGTTGGATGAATAAGCAGAAGTTTTACAGTCAATAAAGACATCCCCAAGCCTAACAGATGCACTCAACAAAGTCAGTAATTGCAAAGATCTGTGACACTCTTCAACAATGAAAATTCTCAATTGGATTCTCTTCATTTACAAATTTAAGAATCAAATTTGCTCCCTCAACAGTGTGGTGATCATTTTGCAACATACACAAATATCAAATCACTATTGTTGTATAACTAAAACTAATATAATGTTAATATATCAATAATATCTCAATTTAAAAATAAAAAACAGTAACATAAAAACATATTTTACTATAGTTGACAATGAACCAAGTAGCATAGTGCTTACCACCATGCTTTGAAACTTACATTTTAACATCCTTTGGAAAATTACTATTCTAGTAAAATTGTTTAGCAATATTTATTACCTAATAAACACTTCCAAATATTAATTTTCATTTAAAAAAAGAATAAAATATACACTCCAAAACCCAAGTAAATGTCCTTGATTATTTCAAAATCAAGGTAGAAAATAAAAGTTGAGTGCATCTATTTCAAAATCCAACATTTGGACATTCCTGTCTGGACATTAGCCACAGGGAACAGAAGACATTTTTATTACATCAAGTTAGCGTTTAAAAACTGCAATATGAAAAAATAAATAAATAAATAAAAACTGCAATATGAACTAGTCTTCTGCTCAGGGCCGTTTATTGACCTCCTAGGCACGCTGGGAACACCGAGCCCTGGGTAAGGCCCTGCACAAGACCCTGGTGGTAGAAAAAGATGACAAAGGCACATCTCTGTCTATGAAGACCTTCCAATTTACAACAAAGATAACAGAAATGCATAGACAATGATACAACAAAATCCAGAACAGGAGAAGAATAAAGAATGAACTATAGCTCTGGAAGGGAGACAGCGTCTGCCCAGAAACTCTGGCAAAGTTTCATGATGGGATATATGCAGAAACATTGAGGATGCAGTTTCAAAATGAGCTACCAGAGAAGAACGCTCTGAGGCAGAGGAACTATTGTTTGGAGAGGCATGGAGAAGCAGATGTCCAGGCTGGGCACCAGGTGAAGTCTGCCTGGAAGTGGGGCATGTGCAAAAGCAAACGCGGAACGGCTGGTGAGGGCCAGGCTGTGGGGGTGGGACCTTGGTGACCAGATGAGGGGCTCCCCTCAGAGTAGCAGGTGATGAAAAATCAAGCAGAACTCTGCTACGGCAGAGCACAGGGTCACAGCGACTAGGGAAGAAGGGGCTGGGGCGGAACCATTTGAAAAGCTACCATGAAAGAGTTCAGTAGAGAGCTTGAAATATGATGAGACCACGGAATAGGAAAGAGAGGGCAAATACAAGTTAGACTCAACAGGTCTCATCACAGACTGGCCAGGGAGAAGGAGACGGGTCACTGGAGTCAGAGGTCACAAGAAAGACAGGCCCTTGGCATAAACAGGGATTCAGGAAGACCTGGCTCAGGGAAGCCATAAACATCTTTACACACTCTACCAAACCCTTCTAAATTATCTGAATTACCATAAAATCTTCCTCTGGGTAAAATAACTGCAAAAGGTGCAAAAACATCTTGCTCAAGTTACCTCTGAATGAGCTGCTGGAAGAGGTTGAAGGTGCGGTCCCATAAGGCTTGCTTGTTTTTGGTGATGGGGTCATGTTCATAGGTGTATTTCTGTTCCAACTCCTCAAGCTTTTTAAGCTGCTGACGAACCTGCTGCAGACTCTCCGCCACTATGGTAAACCTGGGGAGGCACAAGCCACGGAGTCTTCATCAGAGACAGCCGCAAAGCAGTCTGGATTCAGAGAGTCACGGAAACCAACAAGCACTGTTTACAGACAACACGATGTTGTGATGCTATCTGCCCAGCTTTGCAGTGCAGGGAGAAACAGAGAACAAATCTTGTCTTAGTGTAAAGTGAAAAAGTGAAAGTGTTAGTTGCTCAGTCGTGTTAGTTGTTCTTTGTGACCCCATGGACTGTAGCCCCGCCAGGCTCCTTGGTCCATTGAATTTCCTAGGCAAGAATGCTGGAGTGGGTAGTCATTCCCTTCTCCAGGGGATCTTCCTGACCCAAAGATGAAACCTGGGTCTCCTGCACTGCAGGCGGATTCTTTACCATCTGAGGCACCAGGAGTCATTATTTGTGAGAAAAAACTAACATGCCCTCTGAATGATTACAGCCCAAATAAAACGCCTCTGCACCCGCCGAGATGGACGTGAGCCGAGATGGACGTGAGCCGAGATGGACGTGAGCAGAGATGGGGCGGGGGAGTGGGAGCTTCTAGGGCAGTGGTCCCCAACCTCTGGTTCTGATAATATGAGGTGGAGCTGATGTCATAGAAATAAAGTGCACAGTAAATGTAATGTGTTATTGAATCATCCTGAAACCATCCCCCCAACCTGTGAAAGAACTGTCTTCCAACAAACCAGCCCCTGGTGCCAAAAAGTTTGAGGACTGCTGTCTAGGAAATCTTGAACTTCAACTGAGTTATCATATAATTGGGACTTAAACGCACAGGGTAAAGGGGGCGGGGTGCAGAGGGAGGGGACACGATAAGGCAGACACTCTAGGAGGTGATGTGGCGGCAGTGAGGGGCCCCTGCAGATTTTATATCAGGGCAGTGACACTGTGCAGGGAGGAGAAAGAAGGCACCTGGAGTCAGGGCAGCAAGACAGAGGGCGGATGCAAGCCGGGTTAGGAGGAGACAAGGGAACAGGGGTTACTACGTCGCTGACCTGAAAGAGAGGCAAGGTACGTAATCTAATCATTATCAGACACTCAAAATATGTATAAACCAAGGAGGAAAGCTGCCGACTACTCTCAGGTTCCTCCATCCTGACAGTAAACCAAAGGTGATGGAGCCTCTGAGCGGTGTTGGACTGTGGAAGTCCTGGCCTGGAGTGATAAGAGCATCAACTCCCCAGTGAAAAACATCTCCTCCAGTTAGTGTTTTCAGTCCTTGAATCCAGGTCACAGCCCCAAGAGCACAGCCCGTGGGTGTGAAATGAGAGGCAGGATAACAATGGCAGGCAGGCGCATCCCACAAGGATTCTAACCCAGTGATTCCCAATCCTGTTTGGGCCGAGGAACACAAGAAAATGCTGACAATTCTTGCACAGCACAGTGGGGGACAATGGAGGGCATTCACATCTCCACAAGAGGCTCCATGTGGCCCAAGATGATCAGAGTGAGGACCTCACCCCACTCCTGGGGGAAAAGAAACAAAAACAGCAATCCAGACAGTAATCTCATGAGGTCTTTGGTCCTTGGGCCCTTCAGAACTGCTCCAGGCCACCACCCAACTCCTGCCCACTGACTCTACTGCTTCTACCTGGTCTGCTCAGCTCTGTCCGTCCTCCCTGGGCTCTGCTAAAACCTTCGGTTCAGTTCAGTCGCTCAGCCACGTCCGACTCTTTGTGACCCCACGGACTGCAGCACGCCAGGCTTCCCTGTCCATCACCAACTCCCAGAGCTTGCTCAAATTCATATCCATCAAGTCGGTGATGCCATCCAGTCATCTCATTCTCTGTTGTCCCCTTCTCCTCCTGCCTTCTATCTTTCCCAGCATCAGGATCTTTTCCACTGAGTCAGTTCTTCGCATCAGGTGGCCAAAGTATTGGCGTTTCAGAATCACTCCTTCCAATGAATATTCAGGACTGATTTCTTTTAGGATTGACTGGCTTGATCTCCTTGTAGTCCAAGGGACTCTTAAGAGTCTTCTCCAACACCACGGTTCAAAAGCATCAATTCTTAGGTGCTCAGCTTTCTTTACAGTCCAGCTCTCACATCCATACATGATGGTTGTGAAAAACCATATGGTTTTGAAAAACCATAACTTTGACTAGACGGACCTTTGCTGGCAAAGTAATGTCTCTGCTTTTTAATATGCTATCTAGGTTGGTCATAGCTTTTCTTCCAGGGAGCAAGCATCTTTTAATTCCATGGTTGCAATCACCATCTGCAGTGATTTTTGAACCGAAGAAAATAAAGTCTCTCACTATTTCCATTGTTTCCCCATCTATTNCTTTGGCATTGCCTTTCTTTGGGATTAGAATGAAAGCTGACTTTTCCAGTCCTGTGGCCACTGCTGAGTTTTCCAAATTTGCTGGCATATTGAGTGCAGCATTTTCACAGCATCATCTTTTAGGATTTGAAATAGCTCAACTGGAATTCCATCACCTCCACCAGCTTCGTAGTGATGCTTCCTAAGGCCCACTTGACTTCACATTCCAGGATGACTGGCTTTAGGTGAGTGATCACACCATCATGGTTATCTGAGTCATGATCTTTTTTGCATAGTTCTTCTGTGTATTCTTGCCACCTCTTCTTAATATCTTCTGCTTCTGTTGGGTCCATACCATTTCTGTCCTCTACTATGCTCATCTGTGCATGAAATGTTCCCCTGGGATCTCTAATTTTCTTGAAGAGATCTCTAGTTATTCCCATTCTATCATTTTCCTCTATTTCCTTGCACTGATGATTGAGGAAGGTTTTCTTATCTCCTTGCTATTCTTTGGAATTCGGCATTCAAACATCCTCAGAGCAGACCAGAAATACAGGCCTTTCTGTCTCTAGTCTATCCTCAGACTTAAATACAAAAATCAGAGAAATGAATCTCCATTTAAATAAAGGGCCTGCCTGGCTCAGCAGTGTTGACTGGGAAAGTTCTGGAGTTCCCAGGATAGTACGGGAACCTCCACGACCAGGCTCCAGCCTCTTGTCTGCTCTGCTTTCCTCCTTCCGTATCTGGCATCCGACTCTCTAGCCACCCAATGTAAGAACTTTGGGCCCAGGTCCTTCCCCCACTGCTGCTTCTGTCCACACCTTTCTCCTCTCTGGCCTGTGAAGTTTTTTCCTGTTCACTCCCGAGTCAGTGCAAGGCCATTTTGTCTCCTTTATCTTTCCTGGTGACTCCTTCCTTCATCCTCCATGGACTCTGAATGGTCTCTGTCAGAACCTTCGCAATCTTTCACCAAGTAGTTATTACCACGTCCATCTCCCATCTCCCCAGTGAAAGTTCTTTGCTGGCAACAACCAAGAATCATTCACCTTGTGTTCCAGGTCCTAGCCCAGTACCTGGCATACTGCATATAATAAATATTTGCCAGATGGATGGCTGAATGAGTGGCCCACTGTTATTTCATGTAAGCCTGGAAAATGCCTCGAGCCCTTTCATTTTTAATAAAACACTGAGACTTACATTGTTAAATGTGTTGTGTGATGACCATGTCACTGGTGTGTTGGCGTAGTCAAGTGACACATCCCATAGTACGTGTCCAGCAGGGAGAGGAGTGCTCCACACCAAGCTGACCATGGCCACAGGTGTGATCAACACTGTGCTTTTCAAGTGTTTCCAGGGCAAGAAGCAGCTGGATTATGTCCAACTCCAAATGGAAGTTTTCACAGGGTCCATGCAACTAACAGCTTGAATGTTCACTCTACAAGTTTATGCAGCTCACCAATCAGCTGCTAGTCTTACCAATTTTGCAGCTGATCCAGGCAAGCATTGGGGGGCCCCCCAATACAGGCACTCTGCTGTCTCCGCTTCCATTCCACCAGTTCATCATTAATCAGGGCTTTCTGGGTAAGTTCCGTGGCATTCAACAACTCTATTATTTTGAGAACGACTTCCTAAAGGGAGAGAAAGACACACAGTGAAATAAACACATCTTTAATCATGGAATTTTATTCTTTCCTCTCAACTGGGGCACTAAGCCAAGTGGTTATAAAAAATAATTTTTGCCTCATTTCTAAATTTCAAGTTCATTATTTACAGTCTGTGACAAAAGTACTGTGTTATTCTGGAACGTGAAATGCTACCTTTCTCTTATTGTCCAGCATTAAGTACATCTTCTGGAGTAACAACTGTTCTTGTTTCTGATCATTCTTTGCCACGCCGTTGGTTTCATGTTCTGTGAATTGGGAGAGACAGCAGATAAACAAAAATGTGAGACGACAAAACCAACTGAAGGCAAGATTCACATACATTTAGGGAAAATATGACCCAAATGCTATCTGAAGACAGGTCCAAGCTTGGTCTTCATCAACCACTATTGAACAAAACAAAAAAATACCGGAACAGGACACTCTGAAACCAAGTCCTTGTTTTCAATGGCTCATGTAAATGAGAAACAGTACTGTCTGGTTCTTAAGTCACTGTCAGAATATCACCTCAATGAACATAAGGGACAAGATTAAAAACCTCAGTTTAAAACAAAATTGATACAAAGCATCTCCGTGGCTTTGAAAGAGAAGCAAACAATTTGGAAAAGTGTCACTGAGGTTTCCTTCTCTCCTATTTTTACTCACATTATTACAAATCATGTTTCCACTTTACCATGACATCCTCCAAGGACTGCTAGGGTAACAGCAGTACTCTGCTTGTCCTACACAGTGCACACTTTGAGGTTATTTTCAGTGGACATCCTGTCATCATTAAAAACAAGCAACAACAACAAAACAGAGTAAAACTGCTCTAAAACAAGGGGAAAATGCTGAACTTCACCTCTACTGTGCACACACAGAGCTGGAACATTTGAAGAAACTTTGGGGATTAGGCTGGGGAACTCCAAACACCTATCCATCTACGTCCATCAGTAGGTGAAGCACAGTAAGTAAAGTGAATAGCACACAACCAGTGGGTGTCAACGGGGGGTGATTTTGTCACCCAGAGGTCACCTGGCAACATCTGGAGACAGTTTTGAAACGGCAACCCACTCCAGTACTCTCGCCTGGAAGATCCCATGAACGGGGGAGCCTGTCAGGCTGCAGTCCACAGGGTCGCAGAGTCAGACAGGGCTGAGCGTGCGATCACACACTGGCAGCTCTACTGCTGCCCGGTGGGCCGCAGTCAGGGACGCAGCTGAACACCCTACAGTGCCCAGCTTGCTGTCACCGTCGGTTATGTCCAGCATCTACAACCCCACAGACTGCAGCCCACCAGGCTCCACTGTCCATGGTATTTCCCAGGCAAGAACACTGGAGTGAACTGCCATTTCCTTCTCCAGGGGATATTCCCAACCCAGGGATCGAACCCACATCTCCTGCATTGGCGGGCAGATTCTTTACCACTGAGCTATCAGAGTATCTCACAACGCACACAACAGTCTCCAAAATAAGGTTGTGTGTGTGCTCAGTCATGTCCGACTCTTTGCAACCCCATGAACCGTGCCCTGCCAGGATCCTCTGTCCAAGGGATTTTCCCAGCAACAATACTAGAGTGGATTGCCATTTCCTCCTCCAGCAGAACATGGTTATCTGGCCCAAAATGTCAATAGCACTGAGGTTAAAAAACCCTGACCTGGTCATCAAGAAGTCAACACTAGTAATTAAGTCATAAAATATTTGGTAAATATGAAGGAGTACTTGCCTTTGCTAGCTAGTGTAAGCAGAAAAAATTACAGGCAATGGACACTGCTTTAAATGTTAACTCTTACCTCTGTTCTGCAACGTTTTGCATTTAAAGTCATATTCATCTTGCAAATCTTCTAGGGTCTTGATTTCATGTTCAATACTCTACAAGTAAAGACATAAACAAGTTTTCCACCATACTCAGAACAAAGACTTTAGGACACAGATTATTGTTTCCATAGGACCCAGAAAATCACGGATACAATCCTGCTCTCTCGAAGATGAGTAAGATTCATAAAATCCTGCTCTCTCAGAGATGAATAAGATTCATAAAATTCTAATAATGAATAATTTCTACTTAATTAATAAGTATATAACAACCATTTTAGAAAATAAAACATATGCCTATTTCTGGACTGGGCCACTTGATGTCTACTCATTTAATGAAATGTTTCCCTCAGAGGCAGCAAGGTAAAGTTGCTCCAAATAACCTGTTTGATAAAATGCCATCTGAAGCACAAAGTCAGGGTCATGCTAGCATGACCTGGAGACCCACAGGAGAGAGGGCTCCTCAACAGAAAGGCCGCTTTCACAGACATAGGTCCAGTGCAAAGCTGGACTCCTCACCCTCTCCACGCAGCCCCACAGCAGAGGGGAGTGAACATATACCACCCAAGGGCACCGCTCCCGTAGGTGGTCTAGGAAGTTCTATCTTAAAGTTATTGCAGATGTTTTGCTATAATCAGAATATGTCAGAAATTTCCTTCCCTAAGATGTTTTTGTTCCCCATCCAAGCCTTGGAATAAAACAGGTGTTTGAGGAAGACTACGTTCATCCTGGGCTTCTATGTAACCCCAGGAACATGCCAATTTAAGAAGTGAAGCCATAAAGGGCAACTTTGAGCAGCAACAGCTTGTTCACTGGGTGATGGGGCAAAGTCCACAGTTACCGCATGACCCTACAAGGAAGAAGATAAGCTCCACGTTTGGAAGTTATACTGCGGGCCATAAATATCTATCTGCTCATTGGTTGCACCAACTTGTTTACTTAGACATTGGAATTTGGGGGAAACTTTTCTTCTCAACTACTTAAAAAACTGAAACCAGTTACAATGTTTACACTAGGGCAACTGAAGCTTTTATCCCCCCTATAAGAAGCTACAGAGAATATGTGTACACTTCTTCAGTGCTCACCATAACTTTGTCTTTCACGTTTCTGACTTTGCCGTCAAGCTCCTTCTGTTTGTCTAACATCACAGTGCTCTGAATATTCCCGGACTGCGCCTGTAACGGAAGGCACGTGGTTAGCAGCCATGACTTCCTCTCTTGTATCTACCTGCTGGTTAAGCGCCAAAGTCAAGTCTATATCCCATGCCCCGCCTAACTCTCAGACCTTCCAGAAGCTCCCACAGGCCTCCCACATGAGCGTGCAGAAGAAAAGCTCAGTTCTCAAGGCCCTGGAAAGTGCTGGCAAACTGTGAACAAGCCTATAGAAAGACTAGGCTCAGTTCACATCTAAACTAAACAAATAGTGTATCTAGAATTTTCCATTAGTTCATACAGTCGCCTGCGACCACACAGGAATTTATTTGAGGGTTTCTCAAATGCTGTAGAGAAGATTATTCTTATTTACCCTGTCCTTATTTCTCTCAAAGTCATGCAATTCAGTGTGGTCACCAGACCAGCATCATCTTACCACCTGGGAGCTTGTTGGAAATACAGAATCTCAGGTCCTAATTTGATCACTGAATCAGAAACCCCATTTGGACAAGATTCCAGATAATTGAGAGGCATATCAAAATTGTACAGAGAAAGAGAAAGACAAATATCACAAGATATTGTTTGTGGATATGTGGAATCTAAAATAATGATCTGATACCCCCAGACATCCAGGACCGTCCCCCAAGGCCCAAGAGAGCCTTGCTTCTCTTGGTCACAGCTGAACAGTCCACTAACCTCCTCCGAGGGGGTCACTGATAACTCAGTGTCCTCTGACGGGCTTAAAATAAATCAAAAGCCGACAAGTCTTCCAAACCCAAGAGATGGGGCTGACCTGGCAGAGCAGGAATCACCTCCTTCACTTTCTAGTGCTGCCTCGGGGCCAAATGTGAGGAGGGAAAGGTTTAGGTACCCCAAGGTGAACAGTCTATTCTCCTGCCCGTCTGCTCTTGGCTGACCACTCAAGCCCATCTGAGATACAGAGTGGCCCGCTGCATAATGCTGTTACAATGAAAAATCCACATGATAATCAAAATTTCCTGCTGAGAGTCTGCCGGGTACAGGCCATACTGAAGAAGGCACCCCTCTCTCAGAGGCAGCAATGTGGCCGGCTTTTCCTCTTGACACTTCTGTTCACAGGATGAATGAGCCAACGTAAGCTTGCAACCGATGATATCTATCTTTAAATGCTTACTGCAGCAAGGAGCTTTCAGTGTGACAAGAGCTAAACACCCAGGGAGGCAGCAATCACAAGGACTGGGCAAATGCTCAAAAAGTGCATGGAAAATGACATATTCACTGTCTCTACGTAAACTCTCTCTCTCCACCCCACCTCCCAATCTCACAGCTCACTCTATTAGTTATTTCTTAGAAAAATGGACATAGGAAGCATTCCACTGTGTATTATGACCTTCTTCCTCGATAATGGAATGATCTCAGCCACAACAACTCAAACCACAGTGGTTTCACTGTCTGCTGGGTTGTTCCCACCACCCCATCAATGAGAGGCATGAATAAATGCCACAGTAACTTCAAAAAACTGAACCCTGATCACCAGGAAGGTCTGTATTAGGATTAGTAAAATCACGATTTAAAAAATCTTGGTTATGGTATAACTGACTCATTCACTGTTTGGATGTCTTAGATACCTAACGGATATCTCAGTACCATTCAAAACAAAGCTGCTGATTTCCCTATCAACCCATTCTTTCCCAAAACCTACTGGGTCCTGCCAAAACCCTACTCCTGTCTCTTTCCTATCTTCCCCAGCTTAATAAACAGTATCTCCAAGTAAGCCAAGTCACAAATCACAGGTATCCTAGACTCTTTGCTGCTTCTCACTTCCACATCAGATCCTTCAATGTAAGCCGTTTTGGTACCACGTGCAGAACATAACGGAATCTGCCCACGTCGTCCCACCTCCACCGACTGCGCCTCGACTCACCTACTTCCCCTCTGCTCCCTCAGTCTGTTGCAAGAGCCCGCTAGCCATCTGCTGCTTCCTTTCCTACCGTGGCACTTCAGAGATGATGCCTGACCCTGACCTAAAGAAATAACCCAGCACTCCACTACCGTCCACATTGTATCATGCTTTATTATCTTCACAGCGACTATCACAACCTGAAAAGGTTTTTCAAACCTAGAATGACTTCTACTATAATAGGGTCCTTTCTCAAAGTCTGGGTCTGTAACATCTTGATACTTATTTTTCCCCACTTCTTGGGGGCAATAAAATTAGAGAGCTAGTCACCACTGCCTTGAAACAGGGCCTCAATAATACTTGCTGGATGACTGAATGAATGTTTATTGCTTTATTATCCTTTATGTTCAATTAGGAAAAAAGTACCTGGCTGATTCTCTGGGCATGATCCAAGATCTTTCTTTCCTCCTTCAGGCAGTTACAGATGATCATAGACATCAGTATTGGGTCTTCCTGAAAATTATCCTAGACATGGGTTGTTAGAATAAGGGTAAATTAATCTTCAGAATGTTTAAACTACTGTATATCATACACTGAAATGAGTTTGTTCATCCTTCACTTACTAAATCCTAAAAATGAGCTATTTTTTGGTAACATCAAAATATTCTTTTCGTATATTATGACTAAAACTGCTTCAACTGTCCAACTAACTGCAGGTTCCTAAATTACTTCTTGATTAAAAAAACAAGTATTTTTGTATACAGTTCCTGTAATAGTTTTCATTTTTGTTGCTCTTGGGCCCAGTTCTCTTATTACAATCCTGAGACAATGAAAATGATACAAAAGTTATCCAGATTATTCCTCAATTAATCTGATGGTCTCTGCTTTCAATCAGACCAAAGACATTCTTTTCAGTTTTTCTGCTTTCTTGTCAAAGGTAGTTTGCAAAGTACTGCAACTGTGCCTCTCTTTATAACAGGTATAATTAAGTCAACTCTGTAGGAGAAGAAATTTATGTAAAGTTAATCTGGCTTTCCCATTCACTGGTATTATAAAATCATACATATGTTCACAGAGGGGGGGAAAAGGTTCTAATTAAGTTGAACAGTCTGGTTGTGAGGAATAAAACAAGAAAATGACAGTACTCACCTCCATTAAAACAGAACAATTCCATTAATACAGAAGTAAAAATGGTTATCAGGTTTATGGGGTGCTGAAAGCACTTATGAAGAACTCCTAAAACTCTGACGTATACTCTCTCCTGCCTGCAACTCCCTTTCACTTTTTCTTCCAAGGGAGGGCAACTCCAGCAGAAGCAAGGCAAGGTGGGGTCCAACTCCAGTTTACCACCTCATTCCTGGGCCTCAGAGACATCAAACCTTTCTGGACTTACTCTTCATCTGTCTACTAAGCACTCAGATTGGACTCATCACTAAAGTTCCTTTGAGCTTTAACATGTTACTACAGCTCACTGCTCTTAACATATAACCCTTTTTCTTAATGACTTAAATATCAACAACTTTAAATAAGATTATAGCACCGAATTTCTCTCAGAACTACTTATGCCTAAGTGATAGCCTGACGCTTGAAAATTCCTTATGTTTACAAAATGAATTGATATTTTATTTTACTTCTGCTATACAGTATTAGCCACATAAAGGCAGTTTATTGATAGTCTCTGTAATTTCCTAAATACCAATGAGAATGTACTCAATAATATTTGCTGAATGAAAAACCTCTCTTACGTAAACATGGAAGCATTTCAACTAAAACACAAAATGAAGGTCATACCTGAAGGTTACGCTTGCTTTTCCTTATGTTATGTTGCAATAAAAAATTATTCTCCAAAGAAAAGCGACTGTATTGATCATCCAGCTGTGATAGCAGGTCATGAAAACGGATGGTGGCAAATGAAACATCATTGGCAGCATGCTCCCTAGGAGGGTCAAAATGTACACATTTCATTTAGATACTACTTCCTTTGTGGCACAGTTGGTAAAGAATCAGCCTGCAATGTGAGAGACCTGGGTTCGATCCCTGGGTTGGAAGATCCCCTGGAGAAGGAAAAGGCTACCCACTCCAGTATTCTGGTCTGGAGAATTCCATGGACTGTGTAGTCCATGGGGTTCAAAGAGTCGGACACAACTGAGTGATTTTTATCTTTAAACCAACAAAATAAACACTGTTTTCCATAATGAAATTATTAAAAATAACTTAAAAGTGTTTTCCTGGCTTTTAGTCCCTTCTTTTGAAGCTGACAGTGCTTTTAGCAGCAGGGAGTATAGTATTTCTATTATATAACATTAGCATGAACTATTCTAGTATGCCAAGCTGGTGCATAAAGCTATCAATGGTTATTATCTCTGGAGTCAAAAAATCAACAGGAGCCTTCACTTTCTATGTCAAATACTTTCAGAACATTTAAAATATTTGCAATGAGCTAAACAATAAATTTTAAAACAAAACATTTATCAGTTTTAAGAGCTATTTCCTTAACTGCATTACTTTATACTTCTCATAAGTGTTCTACAACGACTTGGCTTTAACTTACCTCTTTCTATAACCTGGATCCTAGCTTGGAAAATAATTTGTATCAGCATCATGTAACTTGTTCAAAGTATTTAGGAGGATGTATAATTAAATTGGAAAGTACATAAAATTAATGACTAATGCATTTAGCTTTCTAGAGACATATGACATTTTTCAAGTCAACACTCTTTTTTTGCAACAGATAATCCCAACGGCTACTGATGAGATTCATCTGCTAGTCAGTGTAGTTCCAAGTCATTCAATCAACAAGTTATTTTAAAAGTGTAGAAAAACTCCTCCTTTTATCAGATGAGTTTTCCTTACCAGTCTTGCTTTTCTAGCCACTGTGCCAGATATTGTCTGATTTCCATGGGAAAACTGTCATCATAGAGCTGGTGAACCTGCTCCAGGTATTTGGACTCAAGCTGCTGAAGCTCATACCACTGGGACATCCTATAGGGCAAGAGAGCACAGATCACAAATGGAAGCCCACAGCTCCAAAGAAAGCATGTCTAGCATTGTGCTTCTTCTAAATATCCTGCTTAATCAAAAACATAATTTGCCTCAAATATACTTTTAAAATAGATGTCTATATTCCAAAACCTGTTCTGTTTTTTCATTTGGGGCCAATATTCCTTTCTTCCCCATAAAATACACGTTCAGGTCTTTGCTCAAGTGCTAATGTATCAGGCAAGCCTTCTTTGGCCACCTTATTTAAACTGACACTACCTCTCACCCCAGAAAACACTATCCCTCCTCCTTGATGTACTTTTCTCCATCGCCCTTAACCACCATCTGACCTAGGACATATTTTCCTTTTTATTTTGATTAGTGTCTGTTTTTCCCACGGAAGGGAATGGTTTGTCCGGGATAGTGGTAGTGCGAGGTGGGGGAAGGCTGTTCACTGAAGTATCTCCAGAACAGTGCTGGGCATATAGTAGGTGTTCATATGCCTTTAAAATGAATCTTCACTTTTATTAATAAGTGGGAAACACTCTTTGCTTTAAGATAAATTGTAAAAACTTTCCCCAAAACTGCTCTTAGAAATTATAAAACATTTGTAATTTAATTCAAAGGACTTTAAACTGGTATTCTATATGATTCACATGATTAAAATGAATTACTTTTGTTATATATCTTTTAAAAGAGATATTTTGTTCTTGGTCTACTGCACACAACAAAGTAGCACAAAATTCTTACATCTCAGTAATAATTTTTAAAGACTGAAACTACATTGTTAAATGCAATTTGAAAAGATAAAGTAATACTATCTCTTTAGATAACTGTAAATCAACTTTTATATAGTAACCCTGAAGATTAAAAATTAAAATGAAAATCTGATTTAAGGAAGTCTGAACATCCATCAGGAAAATGAAAAGCCTCCCTTCATCATAGTGTAAATTAGGACTTATCAGATTGGCCAAAAGTTTCGTTCAGATTTTTGCAACCCAATATATCAGTGCACAGCTGACAATACTCTGAGCAAATGTAAGTGAATCTTGTTCTACTAGGCCTGAGAAAGGGCTCTGGATTTTCAAGCAGGGCATGGAAGAACATATGCACACTTGCTGGCAAGCACATGTGTGCAGCCATGAAGTCATGTCTGCTTCACAAATTTCCCTCCAAAAGAAGGTAAGCATACGGTGGGGCCACAAAAGTAACCATCACAAAACATCAGTACAAGTGAACCCAAGCGAACCTCTGGTATACTTGCTGTAGCAATTTGATTTTTCACTTCAAATTTATCCTACCTGAGTAAAAGACTGCAAATTTGCAGTGCTCTTCCTCCCTGCTAAGTATCTAAAAAGGATGTGACTAAAGCAAATACGCTGGCCAGTGGGGGCTGCAACACTCTTCTTAGGCGGGTGACCACAGGTGACTCACTTCTCTGTCAACAGGGTGATTGTTAAGACTGCATGAGCTAATACAGACACAGCACTTGGCACAAAGCAGGCGATCAATAAATTCATGCTAACAAATTCAGAATCCACTCCATCTTCTCGCCAAACTTGGTACCAACACGGAAGAGCAAGACCATCCCTCAATCACCTGACTTCTTCCTTTCCAGTCTCAAGACCTCCTGCCTCCATGCCTCCAACACTATTTCCCAATCCAGCCTCCTGCGGCACAAGGGTTTTGACCACATCATCCTCTTGCACAAAATTGCTAGTTCGCCCACCCTTGAAAACAGCTTCTCCGTAAATTTTTGCCTCTTTAAATTTTACTAGCATTCAAAGACAGGTACAATTGCCATTTCTTCTTTAAGCTAAGATATACCCAGAGACAATTAAGCTTTCATTGACTTGTGCCTCACAGCATTTTGCATCTCTATTTGGGCATCAGCCTCTGTTTTCCTTGGTGGCTCAGTGGTAAAGAATCTGCCTGCCAATGCAGAAGATGCAACACACAGGTTTGATCCCTGGGTCGGGAAGATCCCCTGAAGTAGGAAATGGCAACCCACTCCAGTATTCTTGCCTAGAAAACCCCATGGACAGAGGAGCTTGACGGGCTACCGTCTATGGGGTCGCAGAGTCAAACACAGCTTAGTGACTGAGCATGCACACTGACACCCTGTCTTCCTTAAACAAAGCTCTATGATGTCTCCCCTAAATGATGTAAGCTTCAGATTTGCTAAGACTGCCTTTTTTTTTTCTTTTTAAACATCCTCTGCACTTTGGACAGTGTCCTGCACACAATATATACTCAATAGAAGTCTGTTGAACTGAAATCTAGTAGACTGAATTAGAAAGTAAAGGGCAAACCATATTATGGTCCAACAAGTTTTGAGTCCTGCGTCAAACTGCAAACTGGATTGTGCTGGGGGCTCAAGTCTTATTTCCGTCCCATAAAAACAATCTATCCAACTTATACAAACAATATTTAAAGCACAATCAATCATACCTATTTTTCTTCCCCCAAACTTTTGGTACTAGTCAGAATTTTTTAAAGGCTAATTATATTATTTCGGGATCTGCAGGAACTAATCATCACTTTTACACTTCATGAGCATATTAAGCTCTTTTATACTTAAACAGATATATACTTAAGTTCCAAAGTCACATACTCATTCATTTCCGTTAACATTTACTAACCTGTCACCTTGTGCCCAGCGAAGGGCTAGGGATTCAACACAAGCAGCAGCTACACACAGCACGTCAGATGCCAAGACTGTTGGGTCTGCATGCACAGGGTGCGTCTAGCTTAGACAGCTCTCTAGGGGTGGCACACGGCAAATGCAAACTTTCTGCGGAGAGAAGAAAATACGACTCTGCTGGAAGGGAAGGGAAAGAGGGTAAAGGGGAAGATGCACTGTTGTGGGGGAGGGGCGGGATTCTATTTCACATTTTTTTACTACCAGGGCACAATTGACTGGGGCAACCGTGCCATCACCGGAAACAACACCTGGGATATAAGTTCTTTTCCGGATGACGGATCCACCCGTCAGCACTTAAAAGCTTGAGCTCGTTGGGCATCCGTCTGCTGGGCCCCGAAGAAGCCGGTCCAGGCGCGTCCCACCCGGCACCCGGAACCCGGAACCTCATGCTCACTCACTCTGCGCGCCGGATCCCGCAGGGATAGGCGAGAGCACAGCCGTGCCTCCTCTCCCAGGCGCACCGGGTCGCCTCCGCTCTATTTAGGGTCTGACTCGCGTTCTTCTGTCCGCAAACTCAGCGCAGCAAAGCGAAAGTACCAGCGGAAAGAAAAGGCAGATCCTGACGCCCCGCCTTCTGCTCCCGCCAATCATCGGGCTGCTGCCGCGCTCGGCCAATCGGACACGGCTGTTCCCCGCGCGCATCGCCTCCCCCGGGCCGCTGCTCTGCCCGCCCGCTGAGTCTTAGCCTTCGGGTAGGGCTCGGGTAGGGCTCGTATTTGGAGGCCTTGAAGCTCAACTGTGTTGCAAGTTAAGGGTTATGTTTACACATACTTTAGAGAACAGCTAAAAGGAAGTTATGTGTTTGCTGAGGCCCAAACTGGGAGAGCCTTACATTAGCCCCAAATCTGAAAATCTGAGGCAGAGGACACAGGTGGGGGACATTGTCGTTCTCGAATCTCAGCTTAGCAGCTTACCTACCTCCGTGTTGCTAAACCCAGAAGACGCTTTTCTGTCCTCACCTTATGTGACCACTCAGAAACCTGCGCAGCTAACACCTCCATTCTTTAACACTTATTCGTGGGCCATGATGACAACATACCTTCCTTGAGTCTTCCTACCTCTCTGGTATTTCTTTCTCCATCTCTGCCACCAAACTGCTCAGTTTTAAGTGTGGTCATGATACAGATCTGGTCTACTTTACCTACACTTCTCAGGTTGCTCTGTGTTGACCTCGTCCACAGCATCTGTGTCTTTCTAGATAACGTAGAACTTCTACAACCGTACTGTGTCCACACGACTCGTTCAGCGCTACACCCACTGTACAGCCCACATTTGACTTTCCACTTGGATGTCTGGTGAGCTCTAAAAACTAATTATATTCAGAACCATCTCATCATTTTTCTTCTTAAACCTGCCCTTTTTCTAGAAATAACCCGTGCCAGAAAATTAGGAGCCGCCTTTGATATTGTCTTCTCACCACCCACGCCCACACCAGTCCTCAAGCCTTGTTGACTTTTCCTCCAAATACTCTTCAGGTCTCACTGCTTCTGGTCATCTTCTGTGCCATCCCCCTTTTCTCTCATTTGGATCTTTTCAGTAGATACCCCAAATGGATGCCTCACTTCAGTTCTTAACTCCCATTTAATCCATTTACCCTATAGTAGTTTGACTGGTTTGTTTGTAACTGCAAAGCAGATCATGTGTTTGCAAACCTGAAAATCCTCTGATGGCTTTCCTGAATAAAATCCAGATGTCTTAATGTAACCTATAAAACCTTGGTTTCCCTATCACTTTCTTTAACTTCATCTTGTGCCACTCTTTCCTTACTTCAGCAGGGTTTTTTGGGTTTTTTTTTTTTTCTCCTTCAAATAAGACAAGCTCTTTCTACAAACTCAGGGTCTTCTCACAAGCAGTTCTCCATTTGGAAAACCCTTTGAGCCAATGCCCTCCCTCCCAACTTCTTTGCTGGCTAGCCTATCTTTTTGTTGTTGGCCACATTGCTAAGTTGTGTCTAACCCTTGCGACCCCATATACTGTCACCTGCTAGGCTCTTCTGACCATGGATTTCCCAGGCAGGAATACTGGAGTGGGTTGCCAATTCCTTCTCCAGGGGGTCTTCTCAACCCAGAAATCAAACATGTGACTCCGGCATTGGCAGGCAGATTCTTTACCACTGAGCCACCAGGGAAGCCCCAACTCATCTTTTATGTCTCCACTAAAATCTAAGCTTAACTGTCACATCCCCAGATAGGCATCACTGAGGCCAGACTAGGTCTTCTTGGAAGGTGTGCACATAAAATCAATTGGTTCCTCCAAGTATTTAATAGATGGAACTTGAATCAAGCCTGGAATAATAAGGCAATTTTGGGTGGGAAAAGGCTGTAAATAATTTCCCAGAGATAAGCTTCCTTTCCCAGGAAGCTTATATGTGGGCTTCCCTGGTAGCTTAGCTGGAAGAATCCACCTGCAAGGCAGGAGACCCCGGTTCGATTCCTGAGTCGGGAAGATCCCCTGGAGTAGAGATACACTGTCCACTCCAGTACTCTTGGGCTTCCCTGATGGCTCAGCTGGTAAAGAATCCACCTGCAATGTGGGAGACCAGGGTTCGATCCCTGAGTTGGGAAGATCCCTGGAGAAGGGAAAGGCTACCTACTCCAGCATTCTGACCCCGGTTGCAAAGAGTCGGACATGACTGAAAGAGTTTCACTTTCACTTTTCATGATTATATGTGTGTCTATTGTAGTTTTCTCCATTCTCATATCTATATACTTCTTCTTGTCACATATTCACCCTCACAAAGCCAGTATTGAACTGGTGATAACAATGACTCTTGGTACCAAAGTAGCAGCCCTCTGTGTAAAAATATGCTAGGACTCCATCCCCCCCCCCAAAAAAAAGTCCTTCCCCTCCTTCTTACACCCTGTTCTAAGGGCCCACACAATGTTTGAGAAAAGGTGACTCTCAGAAGGGTAGATAATATGTTAAACATATGTTTTTTTCTTCTGGTACTATAAAATTTACACAGAGACTAGCTTCGGTCTTGACATGTTAATATCTGCAAGTAGGATATTTCTCTTGGGCTCTCTGCATGCTGGCTGTCATCAAGTTCTATGGATGGTTCTCCCTATGTCTTTAACTGCCTTAATTTTCCCATCATCAACAGTGCCCCGCTGTAGGCCTTCCTCAGTCTAGAACTGAAGTGCTACAGTAGATGCCAGTTACACTAACTTTTTCCTGCCCCTTCCCCCTCCGCTGTACTCACCAAACTGTTGCTGTTGTTTACTAGCTCAGTCATGTCTGACTCTTTGCTACCCCATGGACTGTACCCTGCCAGGCTCCTCTGTTCATGGGATTTCCCAAGCAAGAGCACTGTAGTGCGTGACCATGTCCTTCTCTAGGAGATCTTGTCCATCCAGAGATCAAACCCATGTCTCCTGCATTAACAGAATTAAATTCTCTAAAACACCTCATTTATAGTCATTCCCTGCTTAAAAGTCTTGGCAACTCTCATCGCATTTATGACGAACACGAACTTTGCCTGCTAGTCCAGACCCGCAACAGAATGTCTCTAACATGTTTCAGGGTGGGTTACTTTTTTTAATAGTTTTCTTTTCTTTCAAAAAGGTCCATTACGGGGACTAGTACATTCGTAGTCCAAACACCCTCTCGAACGCCTTGTGAAGTTGTGTGCTTTCAGGCGAGCAGCCCAGGCCCCGCCCAGGATGAGGGACAGTCGAGGAGGAGCAGACGGTCAAACTCTGAGAAGTTTCCAGTGACAGCCGGCCTAGCGCTCGGCGGGAGGGAGGCGACTGCTCAGAAGAGCCATCCCACGTGCTTTCGGGGAAATAGCCTGGGAGCGAGAAGCAGCTGGACTGAGAGGAAACCGAAAAGCGAAAGTAGAGACGGCGGGCGCAGTACGCAGGCGCGGCCCCGGGGCTTTCCAGGGGGCCGCCCGCTGCGCCGCGGGTACCGCCCCCTGCCCCCTGCAGCCTCCCGGACGGCGACGTCCGTACAGCGCTTAAGGTGCTGGAAAACTTACCCCATCCTCTTCCATCTTTCCTTTCCTCCGGTGGTCTGGAGATGTCGGGTTTTTTTTCTCCCTCACTTCTTTATCTACACAGTCTGCACACATGCTAACTCAGATTTTACTAGTCTTTCAAGCTCTGACCGCCACCCAGCTGGGCTAGTTGCCCTTTAACCAGAGATGGGGTGGGGCTGCGGGGAGGCTGGCTGTTTCTTCAACTGCCCTCTTCTAGATCTGCAGAGGACTTGCCTTTTTCCTCTGGCGTCTTCTTACCGCCCCCACCTCTCCCCGTCCCTACCTTCCCCTTCCTGGTGATTATACCAGCTGGAGTAGGGAAGAAGTGTAGTGAAGGAGCAATCTAGTCACTGGACCATGATTTCGAAAGTTTGGCAGGCCCAGGAAAAATCGTTTTGGTCCAGTCTGCTATCTGTGTGACTTATTGAATGGTCCCAGGAGGCATGAACTGGATTTTTTGGACTCTGCTCAACCACTCTTAAAGCGCTGTTATCTACTTAGGGGACCAACCTAGGACCTCGGACCACAGTCTCCAGACCTCCTGAGAGTGAGCACCAGTCCCCAGAGCTGCAAGAGCACTTCACATAATTCCCAGAATACAAATGGACATCTGTTTCCCCCTCTTAGTAGCGGACAGGAGCCGGTATATAATTTGCAGGCACAGTGCAAAATGCAAACAAGGAGCCCCTTATTCAGACTTACGGAAAATTTCAAGAAGGCAGGCAGAGCACCAAACCAAGCGTGGAGCCTCTTGAGTGTTCTGTCCTGTTACAGATGCACACAGTTGCACCCCCATGAGGTTTCTAATAGAGGAATTGCAGGGAGGGGAGATTTCTTCTGTAGAGACCTCCTTACATATTTACTTAAATGAAAACTTAGATATAGTGAAGCATTATAACACCACTCCTTCCTAAAGCATTTGCAATAAAATCCAGTGCCTTCCTCCCTCCCTGTAGCACCCTACAGCCTCTGATCTTGCCTCTTTCTCCTACACATCTTGTCCCTCTTTCTCCATCCTCCTCTATGCTCCACGCTCTGTAGCCTCTTTCTGTTCCTCAGGTACCCCCAGCTTTTACCTGCCTGGATCCTCAGAATGTGTATCCTCTTCTTGTGTTCCCAGCTGTGGAATGAACTTGCCTCTTCTCATTCTTTAGGTCTCAGCTCAGATGCCATTGCCTCAGAGAGACCTTCTCTGACCTTTCTTTCAGTTACTCTGTATCACATTTACATTCTTCATAGCCCTTGTTAAATCTGGCCTTCATTATATACTTTACTGTTTTCCTCTCTCCTCACAACCAGAGGGACTTTGTGCTCATCTCGGGTTCCACGAGAGAATTAAGTCTAATGCCTGAGGCATCTGTGTATGAATTACCTTCTCTCCTGTTTCTCAAGAATGGCACTATGTACCATCCTGGGGAGAATTGAAAAGATAGTCAAGCAAGTCACTTCGAGTCTTTGGGGCTCAGATCGGAAACCCTGATTGCAAAAGGTAATGCCTTTTTGAATAAACAGCGCTGGGATAAGGACTCACAACTAAAATCAACCATTCAGACCTCAGCGCAGGCTCCAAGCCTATT